CTTTGCTCCAAGTTCATAGCAGTTCCGGAGGCAAGCTTTTCTGGAAGTGGCTGCCACTCCTGCTTCGAACCCTTTTTAATCTGCGAGATCCACAAAAACCAGGCCTGAGGGCTGCAGGCTCAAGGGCCCAAAGGCCTTTTTAAATACCAGGCCAAATCCCATCATCTCACACCCTACTGCAATCAATAGCCATACCCTAATCTTAACCCCAAACCAGAAAATACACCTTTGCAGAATCCTGCCTTTCTGCTCATCTTCCCAGTCTAGAAATGGCCGTAGACTGACTGCCAAAAGCTTTTTAAATGCAAGGCCAAAACCCTTCAACTCACACCCTAATGGTATCAGTACCCACACCCTAGTCCCACTTATTCTGTATCTCTTGTTTCTTGGTTGTGTTTTTTTGTATCTTTTTTAAAACTTTATTTTACATTGATTTGCATACAAAATTCATATATATTGTGTTTCACACTATCCTTTATTTACATTATACTTCATACAATCATTCTCATTCATTATGTTTTATAAAATCAATCACCATTGAACTATGCCCACTGGTATCCTGTGTTTCCAGATCCCCACTGGATCTTTCCCATTTCCTTTACCCTCTCTCCCTCCACTCACCAAATTGTGCAACTCAGTGATTTTCCCCCTTCTCACCCTCACTCTTCTGTTCCCATTCCTTAGCCTCTTGGATCCCCATACACATTTTAATAGTTATCCTTCTGTTTTTGCATCTATTTTTTTCATTATTAATGGTCCTATGCAGTATTTATGAGACTGAGTTAGTTCACTCAGTACAATGCCCTCCAGTTTTCCAAGTTACATAGTAATTTTCAAAATCATTTTTCTTAAGTGTTTTGTAGTAATCCATCATGTGAATGTACCCTTCTCTGTAATTGTAGCAGAATATTCTAGAGTTGCATGTTACTGAAATAAAACAGAAATTTGGTATGGAATAGTTTCCTTTGATCTCTATGAGCATTAATTATATCAGATTTTCAGCAAAGAGTTAATCTATTTCCATTGAATTGTGCTTTCAGAGGTCCAAGAAGAAAGACTTCAGCAGAGATCTGTTAGAATTTAAATTTGTTTAAATTTAGGTCTGATCGTAATATAAAAGTTTATCTAATGGAAGAGATAGTCCTGAATTCACATTGATTATTCAAGACGAATCTTTGATATTTGACTTGTGAATTCTCTTCTAGGTCTTTCGCCCTTATGCAAAGCACTGGCTGAGCCCTCTGCTGCAGCTGGTAGTTTCTGAGAACAATGGAGGAGTTGGAATTCACTATATGGTGGTGGAGATAGTGGTCACTCTTTTGTCCTGGACCAGCATAGCTACTCCTGTAGTAAGAATTGATTCTGCTCTTCTGTGTAATAATAGATTGTTATCTGTGCCTTTACTTTTCTCACCATAATTATATTTGAGTTATAGAAAACAGAATAGCCCACGCTTTGCATTTAACAAGTGGAGCTTACAAGGAAAACCATTTGATAGTTTGGGTTTAAAAATATTTGCTTTTGTTAGAAAACAATCCTTCATGTATCTGTTATTGCAGAGAAGGGGAATTAATTTTCATTCAAGCGTAAGCCTTATCATTGGGTGTGTTTGTCTTTTGTCGTTGCTTGCTTTGCCGACATCCTCAATACATCTTCAATGACACTTGACACTACACTGAGCATCTTTAGCACTGGTTGCTGCATTACCATGATGTTCCTAAACATGTTTGCTTTTCTTTATTTTTACCTTGCTTTTAATATTAAGTTGTTATATGGGGTGGGGGGGAGTGTTGTGTTGTTTGGTTTCTTTTCTTTCTTTCTTTTACTTGCTAGGAGCTTGGAGACTAGGTAAGTGATGCATGCTGAACATATTTCAGGCGAGTCCAGGCTACACCAGACCAAGAAGAAGGACTGGATGATCTGCTTCTGAACAATCAGCCAGCCAGCACTGATGCAGACTCATTGAGGGGCCAGCTGGGAGACAGTTCTGACTCGATGGCACACAAAAATTCAATGAAATAGCTTATAATCTACTTACTAACAAAATAAAAAGAAGAAATAAATTTATTTAGGAGAAATTGATGTAGAATATCTGATTTAGGAGTAGAATTATGAATTTAAAAAAATATTGTTACAGAATGAATGCTGCATATTAATACAGTCTCTATGCCTTTTTAGGGGATGCCTAAAGATGAGATATTAGCAAATCGATTGCTTCACTTTCTAATGAAGCATGTTTTTCATCAAAAAAGAGCTGTGTTTAGACACAATCTTGAAATTATAAAAACCGTTGTTGAATGCTGGAGGGATTGCTTATCCATCCCTTACAGGTACGAAGATACTAGTCTTTGCAATGTTGTTTAGAGATTTAAATTCAAATGGAAGATGTAAGTGATGGTTATAATAAAAGTTAATTATGTAAAATTTAGATATGTACATAATTTGAAATATACTCTGTGTATAGTATATAATATTGCTACTGATGAAACCACAGCGCCTAGTACCACAGCCTGCACTCACAGTGTGTCTGGGCCAGGTAGCAGCCCCTACCTTGTTGCCACCTTGCTGGGCTCCCTCACATGGACTGTGCCATCCTGGGCCTCTGGGGTGCAACCTTCACTGTCCTTGCCTGGCCTCAGCAGGTGCTGGCTCTCAAGGCCTCTCACTAGCCTCAGAGGAGACATAGACTAAGGTAGATCAGGCAAGTTGCAAAACCAACATACACTAACAAGGGTGAGTTAGTGAAAAGGTGGTGATTTATCTTGTTTTCTACTTAACAAGCTGTTTTTTCATTTGCATGTTTTTCTCAGGTTAATATTTGAAAAGTTTTCCAGTAAAGATCCCAATTCTAAAGACAACTCTGTGGGAATTCAATTACTAGGAATTGTTATGGCCAACAACCTGCCTCCTTATGACCCATCATGTGGCATAGAGAGTAGAATGTAAGTATATCTTTGGCTGTGGTTCCTTTTAGGTTAAAATATATATAGGTATGTAGACGTATAGATATATTTAAATCATAAATTGAAGGACTAGAACCCATGTTAAAATATTTCTACCTAAATTTAGTAAATTGAATTTCAAGATCCTTTGGAGAAGGAGCCTGCATGGCATGAAGGAAGAAGCACTGCAGCTCTGTGAAAATGTTTATTAGCATGGCTCCTCTCCTGGGGTCCAATACTCCAGAGGTCTTGACACCCAGGAGTTCTGCTGCCACATCCCGCTACTGCTTCTCTTGCTCTGGGCTCTATTGTGACCTTTTCTCACTCATTCTTTCTTGATCTGAAAAGGTTTGCTTATAGTTCTTGAAAGGTGGAGATGACATAGGCTAGATAAATTAGTCAAGTCACAGTTACTTGCTTCCTTTCCTTACGGTGTCAGGATTGTTGGAGATTGCTAGGTGCTGGCGAGTCTGTGTGGACTGTGTGCAACAGAGGAAACAGCCCGATGGTGCGCAGGCCTCACAGTTTCTGCCATGCTGTGCCAGTCACACAGTCACTTTGACAGTCCATCTCAAGAAGACAAGAAGAGAAAACAGTTGTCTTCTCCTTAGCTGACCATCCACTTTTCCTAGTTTGCCCCTTCTGATAACATGTCACAAACATGTGAGGAAAACAAACGCACCATCCTTTCCTCTAAGGAGTACTCTGGATACACTTTATGTAAGATTTGTTTGTTCTTTTCGCAGTCCTTGGGATAGTCGGTTTTCTTAGCAAACACCACAATCACAAGGTATGAGTTAATTTTCCATCATTCTAAACTGACATCCTTGTGCTTTCAAGAAGTCCTTGGCAGCACACTTGTCCAGTGCAGTACCTCTGCTGATTTCTTGACTACTCCTTCCATGGATGTTGATAGTGAGGCTAAGTAAAATGAAATCCTAAACAATTTCAGTCTTTCTTTCCATTTATCGTGGTGTTGCCTATTGGTCCAATTATGAAATTTTTATGTCCTTTATGATAAAGTGTAATCTCTACTGAAGGCTCTGGTCTTTGATCTTCTTCATTAAGTCCTTCAGAAGTCAGCTTATAACATCCGCATATCAGTGTGGTAATCAATCTGCCTCCAATCCTGATGTCTTATTCTTTCTCCCGTAGTCAGGCTTCTTGGTTTATTTCTTCAGCACACAGATTAAATCAGTAGGGTGAAAAGATGCAACCTGATACACTTTTTCTGATTTTAAACTATGCAGTAATCCCTGTTTGAGTACTGCTTGGTCAATATACAGATACCACATGCGCACAATTCATTTGTCTGTAATTCCCTCTTACCTGTGTTGTCTGTTACTTGTTTCCAATGATCCACATGGGCAGATGCTTTTGCATTGTAAATAATGCACAAGTAAACCTCTTTCTGGTAGTCTTCCTGCCTGGAGCTATATAAAGTCAGCAGTTCTATTCCTTATTCCATTGCCTTTTCTGAATCCAGCTTGAATTTCTGGCAGTTTCCTGTCAATATGCTGGTATAGCTGGTTTTTTATGTTCTTCAACAAGATTTTACTTACATGCTATTTTTTTCAATTTTTTTTTTTTTATTTTACTAATTTTTGTGTGTGTACTGTCAAGTCAGATCTGACTGGTACAGGAAGAGATTGCCCCTCCTTCCCTAGCATCTGGTGGATTTGAACCACTGACTCTGCAATTGCAGTTCAGCTTCTTGCCACTAGGCCACCAGAGCCCCCCCTTACATGTAATATTAATAATATTATTCAGTTACTTCTCCCTTCTGTTGAAGCACCCCATTTTTGTTCTTGAATAGACACTAATAGGGATCTTTTCCAGTCAATTGGCTTGGTAGCTGCCTTCCAAAGTTCTTGGCATAGACTGGTGAGCACGTCTAGATCTTCATCCCTTTGTTGAAATATCTCAACTGGTATTATGTCAATTCCTGGAGCCATAATTTTTTTTTTCCAGTGTCTTTGATTCTTGATTCTTTGAACTCTTTTTCTGGTACTGTGATTTTGTGTGTTTCTTTCATCTTCTTTAAAGGCTTCCTGCCCTGTTCATTATATTACCTGTAGAATTCTTCCGTGTTGCATGCTGAGGCTTGAAAGTATTCTTCACTTCTTTGCACTTTATACATTCTGAATATGTTCAACACTTTTTATTTTATAACCTTAAAGTGTTTGCTTATTTTTTTACAATGATGCTTTGGTATCTTGAGCTGCCCTTTGAAATCTTCTGTTCATCTTTATTGTTCCGTTTCTTCCTTTTGCTTTACCTCTGTAGAGCAAGTCCTAGAGCAAGTTTCAGAATCTCTTGACATCCATTTTGGACTCCTCCATCTTTCTGTCTTTGAAATGACCTTTCAGTTTCTTCGTGCATGATATCCTTGATATCATCCTTGCAATTCATCTGATTTTCAGTCATTAGTATTCAGAGTTTCAAATGTATTCTTCATGTGCTTTTTTTTTTCTTCATGTGGGGTATATTCAAGGTTGTATTTTAACTCTTAAGAGTTTATTTTCATTTTCTTTAGCTTCAATTTGAGCTTTAATAGGAGCTGTTGATGGTCTGTTCTCTGTAGCCCTGACATTGTTCTCACTCCTAATTTTTTCTCCACTATTATATTCCTCAGGGTGTAGCCAGTTTGATTGCTGTGTAATTCATCAAGTGTTATATTTTATAAGTATGGTTTTTGCCGTGAATGTGTCCTTAATCATAAAAATTCTGTCATGTCATCTCTGAACTCATTTCTATCACCACAACTATACTTTCCAACTACCAGTCTGTCTTTGTTTTTCACTTTTGAATTCTAATCACTAGTTATTGTTAATACATTTTGGTTACATATTCAGTCAATTTCAGAAAGCAGAAGTTGTTATAAATCCTAAGTTTTTCATGTTTGGCCCTCATGATTGGTAAAGAAATTTAAACAAGAATCTTATTAATAAATCTTTGTATGTTTGTGAATATTACCCTACCATTGGCAACATTATACTTCAGCATAGATCGTGAAATACTCTTCTTGATAGTGAATACTATACCATTCCTTTTCAGTTTGTCATTGTCTGTATAGTAGACTTTGTTGTTGTTGTGTGCCATCGATTCGCCTGCAGCTCATAGCAACCCTGTGTACAACAGCCCTAAACACTGCTCTATCCTGTGCCAAACTTACTGTCTCTGACACACCTAACCCCGTTACCCCAGTGACTGAATCAATCCATGTCATGGAGGGTCTTCCTCTCTTGCTCTGTCCCTCCACCCTCCCAAGCATGATATCTCTCTTGCAACATGTCCTAAGTATGTCAGACAAAGCTTCAGAATTCTTGCCTCCAAGGAATAGCCTGCCCTCATCCTCTCCAGGATGGACCTATTTGTTCTAACAGTCCATGGCATATTCATTACTCTTCTCTAGCACCACAGCTTACAGGCATCAATTCTCCTTCTGTCATCCCTAGATTATTCAAATAAAAATGGCCAGTACCAGTCATTTAAGCTCATTAATGACTAGATTATTAATTATGTTTCATTTTACTTTTTTACAACATCCAGTTTTCCTAGATTCATACTTTGTGCATAACTGGTTCCAGTTATCATTGTTACAGCTGTTTTTCCTTATTTTGAGTCCCTTATCATTTGAGGAGGCAGCTCTTCCCCAGTGGCATATGAGTGTCTTTCACTCTGGGGGCTTCACTGGATGGTGTTCTGCTGCTAGTAGGATTTTTCAGGGTTTACAATTTCAGAAGTGAATGGAATTTTCTGCTTCCTACTTTGTCTATCTTAGTCTGGAAACTCTGCCAAAACCTATCCACCGTGGACATCCCCTTCAGATATTTGAAATATCAGTAGCATAGCTTCCAACATCATATTAACATGGTAGTCAGTACAGAACAAAAAAAGTGACAAATGAGTAGAGATACACTTGCTGTCAAATAGCCACCCTTCCATAGGAGGAAACTGCTCATCTTCCTCCCATGGAGCCATTAGTGGATTCAAGCTGCCAGAGGGGGTGCCACCTTTGGCTTAGCAATGCACATCCCACAACTTTAAAGAGGGATGGTAGAGTTGTGCCATTGTCACTTTTTTGGGGTGTTTTTTTTTTTAAATTAATTTTAATGACGTTTACAGAGATTTTGGATTTTCATTCATTCATTGTTGCATTTTTCTTCCTGCCCACCGCTCTCCCCCTAGTTTGCTCTTCTCTTTGAAAAGTAAAAGAAAAATTGTTTCATTGGTGTACAATCTCCCCCTCCCCCTGAATTTACTCTACTATGCAGGCCTTCATTCTGGACTCTTGTCATAACCATAATACCCTATCATATATCACTTTTAAACAGTTCTCTCCCTCCTCTGTTTCAGTGAAGTATACATAATTTATCCAATCTTTCTCAGTCTCACCCCAACCCTGATGTCAGTCCCGTTCTACAACAGTGGCACCATGCAGTATTTGTCCTTTTGTGACTGAGTTATTTCACTCAGCATAATGTACTCCAGGGTCACCCATTTTGAATAATATTGCATGAGTTCCTTGCTTTTCAATTCTGCACAGTATTCCATTATGTGAATATACCACAGCTTCTCTATCCATTTGTTTGTTGATGGGCACTTAAGTTGTTTCCAACTCTTTGCTTATGTGAACAAAGCATACAGCCTTCCATAGTGGTTGCACCCTTTTACACTCCCACCAACAGTGAATAAGGGTTCCTGTTTCTCCGCAACCTCACCAGCTCTGTTAAATTTTGCTATTCTTACTGGGGTGAGATGATATCTTATAGTTGTTCATTGTCATTTATTTTTACATTTCTAAGCCTTTCCTCTTTTCCTTTGGAGAAATCTGCTCATACTGAGTCACATTTGACTATGTCATTCACAGCCATCAAGTTACTTTTGGTCCTGGCAACCCTCTGAATCATATCAGGAGGACACATCCATCTTTCTCTAGTGGCATCTCTGGTGGGTTCAGACTGCCACGGGCTACAGACTCTGTCACATGAGCTCCCTTCACCCGTGCTTACACAAATGATAATTCATGTACAGTAACTAGGTCACGGGCACATAATACCTGTTGGTACATAGTGGACACTGGCCATTGTGGTAGTTTCTTGGAGAAATTGATAACCCTGTGAACTTGGGAGTTAAACAGCTAGTGACTCAACAGATTCCACTGGAAATGTTTTACATTTCGATGAGTTCCTTTTTGTATTTTGTTTCTTGAGCAATAACCAGCCACCTCACAGAGTTATATGATTGTTAAATGTATTGGAACATGTGAAACCTTACTGCTCCCCAGAAGTGTTGCAAACATGCTGCTTCTTTCTCATCATTGTGGTTGTCTTCTCATGTTATGTTTCTCATGTGTCTCCTGTTACAGTAAATGGACTCAAGAAGTCATACTCTTGAGCAAAAATAACTTGGTTTTTTCTGCATGTTTTATAGTATCTAACATTTTGTTAATACTTTGACAGAAGCGTATTTGTGAATCTGTGGGTTTGAGCAGCAGATTCCTCGGGTTCCCTTGTCAAGAGCCCTTAAAGTTCTCCTACAAATAATTTTTTTCCCCTACAAATAATTTGGATAATGTTTTATGTTTAGTATTTTCTCAATTTGTGTTATGAATGTGACATGAGGAAAGTTACATTTTTATATAAAGCAAAAGAGAACATTGTTTTAGGCATTTTTTCCTTATGTTTGTTTTAGATACTTTGAAGCTTTAGTCAATAACATGTCCTTTATAAAACATAAAGAGGTATATGCAGCAGTGGCCGAAGTTCTGGGACTTATTCTTCGATATGTTACTGAGAATAAAAATGTGAGTAGATTGTGCAATTTAAAAATAAGTACATATTTTATTTAATGTGAGTTTTTACAATGAAATCTTAGTTTTATCTCCTCTGTACTCTTAAGAGATTACAGTAAGAGATAGCTTATGTTAATATTTCACTCTCATACTTTATAAAGGCTTTTTTAAAAAAAGACTGCTATGTTTTAAACCTGGAAATGTGTTGAGACATCATGCTAACATACCTTTTTCTGTGAAAGCAGTCAAACAGCTTTCACAGCTTAAAACTTGGTCTCAAGTTTTCATTTTGGATAAAATTATGCTTAAATTATTTCTGTAAAACAAATTTTAAAAATGCAGACTAGTCTTATGCAAGCTTGATGTCATTGTAACTAAATATTCCAATTTATGCTTAACTTTTTATCATAGACAGAAGTTACAACAGAGTCAAAGAGTTTCTCTCTCATGACTTAAATTTCAGTTCATAGGAGTGAAAAGCACTTTTAAAAAATGTAATTTTTTAAAATATTAAGAGCTATTTAGTTAGAACAGTGAAAAGTAAAGTAACATAGGAAGAAAATTATAATTGTAGCCTGTGTTCTGACCCCTTAGACTGCTTTTAGCACTTAACTCCATCAAGTTGGAACCAATTCATAGTTGACTCTCCAGCAGATTTTCAGAGGCTGTAAATGATACGGGAGGAAAATGTTCATCTTTCTCCTATGAAGCAGCTGGTGGATTTGAACTGCTTGCCTTTTGGTTGGCAGCAAAACATCTCCTTACCACGTAGTTTTAAAATGGCCTCATACTATAAATTTGTATTTAAAAACTAAAATTTTATATTTTAGAGGGTTCAGATCTGTTGTTCATAAGATCACTATGAATTGTACCCAACTCGATGGCACCTAACAACAACGATCTGAATGCCTTTAGAAAGAACAGGTTGCTTACTGCTGTTGCCTGTTCTTTGTAAAGAAGAAGATGATGTTTAATGAAAGAAGTCCTCATTTTCCATTACTTCTTCAAGTAATATCCACTGAGTTCTGTCTTGGTTATCTAGTGCTGATATAACAGAGAGAACACATGTGGATGACTTTAATAAATTTATTCTCTCAAAATTTAGTAAGCCAAAAGTCTAAATGCGTGGTCCCAGCTCCAGTGAAAGGGGGTGTGGTCCCAGCTCCAGTGAAAGGCTTTCTCTGTGTCTTCTGGCTCTAGGAGTGTCCTATTCCAAGAATTTTAGTCCCAAAGACATACTCCATCCCTGCCTCTTCTCTACATGGTGCTGAAATCCTGCCTTTTCTGCTCATTTCCTTCTATTTTTATCTCTTGAAGGCTCAAAATGATGAGGCCACATCCCAGAGAAACTTCTCTTACATCCGATTATGGAATCAAATGTAAGATGTGATGCCCTAATCCCCAGTTTAATCACCTGTGATCATATCAGATCACATTATGGTGGTGATACCAGTATTACATATTCAGACAGATTGCTCTCAAGTTGAGAATGGCTCAAAGCTGACCCTTCAGTAGGTTTTTGGAGGTTTTCAGTCCTACAGGAGAAGATCACCCCTTCTTTTCCCATGGAGTGGCTGGTATACATGAATGACCTTAGATGCACCACCTTTGAGTTAGCAACACAATTCCCTACACACTGCTCCATCAGAACTCTATAACTACCTCCAGACATGCCTCATTAACAGCATAGACGTTGGAATTTATAACACTTAAAATGTTGCATAACACTGAGAACAATGGCCTTGCCAAGTTGACACATGTTTTGAGTAGACACAGTTCATTTTATGACAGGTGCTTATATGCATTGAGGACTTTATGAAGACATCAGAAGTAAGGAGCCAGAGAGACCCAAGTCTCCTAGGGAGCCAGAGAGGTTTTATTATGAGGGAGTCCAACCTCCTGTAGTTGAGTATTGTGTTAGAAATTGCTTGAGATGGAAGGAAAGAAAGAAAGCAGAATATGGAATCAGTAAGAAAGGCTGCAACTCGGGCTCCTCAGATAGAATGGTCTTTATGAATTTCAGGCCAGAGACCTGAACAGTAGAGTCATAAAGTGTTTCTTAAACACAGTCTTTCTCATTGGTTTTTAGATTTGTGTCTCATATGCCTCATTGGCTTTCAGTGTCAGGCAGAAGCACTGGTGTTCAATGATCAAACATGGGTCATGTGCAGGGTAGCTGGCCATCAAATGCAGAGCACCGTGCTCCTGGTATGCAGGTCTTAGTACGCAGGTGGAGTCCTGGCATCTACTGTGGAACTGTGGTCAGTGCACATCAGCCTTGGTCCCCACACTCACAAGCTCATGATTTTCCTGATAATGTTATCTGGTTTTAACCCTGATGTCTGCCTTGTTAGGTGCTATCAAGTCAAGCATGACTTGTAGCAACCCTATGAACAAACAGATCTGAACCCTGTCCTATCCTGTACCATCCTCACACTTCCTGACACACAAGAGCCCATGTGGCAGTCACTGTGTCAATCCACCTGGTTAAGGGTCTTCCTCTCCTTCACTGACCCTTCGTCTTTCCAAGCTTCTTTTCCCTCTCCAAGGAGTAGCCTCTGCTAGCAACATGCCTGAAGTATGTGAGACAAAGCTTTGCCATCCTTACCTCCAAAGAGCCGTCTGGCTGTACTTTTTTCAAAACGTACCTGTTCTTTTGGCCATCCATGGGATATTCAGTATTCCTCTCCAGCCCTGCAGCACAAGGGCATCATTTCTGTTTTCTTTATTCATTTTCCAGCCGTAGGTTTATTCAAATATCTGAAATAAACTTTCTTTTGAACTCTGAATTTTCTACCTTTGTGTATGTGACAAGAAATGGATTTTTTTTTCCTCAGGGGCTGGAAGAGTTGGTTTGTGAACTGGTGGTGAAACAGTTGAAGCAACATCAGAACACAATGGAGGACAAGTTCATCATATGCTTGAACAAGGCTGTCCAGCACTTTCCTCCGCTGGCCGATGGGTAGGGTTTCAGCCACATCCACATCACTTCCTCTGGCTTAAGACGGTCTGGGCCGTTCTGTTTCACAAATCATGTTCTTTTGTTAGGTTTATGAATGCAGTATTCTTCCTCTTGCCAAAATTCCATGGTGTAATGAAGACCCTGTGTCTAGAGGTGGTGCTTTCTCGTGCAGAGGAAATAGCAGATATCTACTTGGAATTAAAGAGCAAGGACTTCAAGCAAATCATGAGGCACAGGTGAGTGAAGGGCTGGCCAAGACATTCTTTGATTCCTCTTGCTCACAACATGTTCATTTGCTTGGAAGCTTCTTTACCTTATACAAGAATTTGTAAGTTAGATTTAGTGGCTTAGTCTGTAGAATTCCAGCTGCTAACCCAGAGGCAGCACCTCTCTGGTGGTTGGAATCCATCAGCTGACAGGGGACCTTACCTCTCACTGGGCACCTTTCCCTGGCACACTCCATTTTGCAGAGCAAGTCGTCCTTGGACCTTTAAGGTCAACAGTGACTGTCTATTTATGTTAGTCATCTCATTCCTTAGGCTGGAAAAGATACCATGTCTAGCTAGGCAGATTAGCCTGCGCTTCCCTGAGGTCAGCAGAAGCCCTATGTAGGCTTGTTGTCCTATTCCTCACCTTACCCTTCTATAAGAGGAGGTGCTACTTATGACCTGGCTGACTTCTTGAGGCTGTGGTCAACATTCAGACAAGCAGAATATGACCTGATTGAGACTCTCAGCTCCTGTCTTCTGCTGGGCTGGTGGATACACTGCCTTAGCCAGATGTACATGTTCAATTTATGTGTGTATGCTTGTTTGTTTGATAGTCTGCTCTTGTAGGTATGGTACTTCTCTGTCAGTTTGCTGTACTGGTGAGGTTTGCATGTTGCTGGGGTTCTGGAAGCTATGCCACTGATATTTCAAATACCGGCAGGGTCACCCAGAGTGAACAGGTTTCAGTGGAGCTTCCAGATCAAGAACAGGACTGGTCATCCCCTTCTGAAATAACGGGCCTTTCAAAGCCCTGTGAAAACAGAAGAAAATTGTTGGATTCAGTGCCAATATATGAGCCACTCAGGATGAAAGACACTGAAGAAAAATGAGGAGAAATGATTGCTTAATGGCCCATTAATAATTGGAACATGGAATGCATGAAGTATGAATCTCAGAAAATTGAAAGGTATCATAAGTGAAATGGAACACATAAACATCCTCAGTGTGAGATGGGCTAATACTGCAAGTGCAGGTAGTACCCAGCTTATGGATGAGTCCTACTTCCCAGCATCTGTTTTCTGAGGCGGTATGGTTTGTAAATGTTGTCATTAATACACCTTCCCAGGAGGAAGTTACAGAAAATTTATGCAGGAAGTATGGGAAAAAATTGCTGAGTTGTGTAAATACACTGTAAGTATTCGATCATGATAAGATGATGAACGATCAGTGTCAAGAAAGCCTAATACCGCATTATGGAATAACTCATAAATCACGAAAAACTGGAATCAGTGGATCAATGTTTATTGGATGTTTGAAGAGAAAAGAAATGCTGAAGAAGAAAGAAATAATGACAAGGAAATTTTCTAAAAATTTTACAAGGATTGTCGGGCATTTCATCTAAATTACATGATTATCAGCTTCTTGAAAACATAGAGTCAAATACTGATTGCTTTGCTAAATTGATAGATGCAGGAAGGAATGAGGTATTACCATAAAACATGCAAATCAAAAGGAAAAGAACGATATAGACGTCTCTCACTAATTTTCCGACCATTGTTGTGTGTAATTGGAACTGACACACGGACAACTCTCCAACGAGTTTTTGAAGGCAGTAAATTGTATGAGAGCGGATCGCTCATCCTTCTGTGCAGCAACTGGTAAATTCCAACCATATGCAACTCCTTATCACTAGGCCACCAGAGCTCCAAGTCCCTGACTAGAAAAGATTTTTCCCCATTCTTAGGAATAATCGAGATGGGTCAGAATGGAGTTATTACCACAATTGACAAAATACTGCTATCATTCAGTTCTTCTTCATGATTGCAGTACCTTTTTATGAGTTGGGTCCTTCAAATGATATCTGTGATTTTAAATTCTCCAGTTGCTGTGAAGGAGAAAGATGAAAAATCTCTTTCTGTGCAGTTTACAACCTCTGAAAACTCCACACAATGAGTTCGTTGTTGTTGTTAAGTACTGTCGAGTCGCTTGCGACCTTATGTACAACATCCCTAAACTCTGCTCTGTCCTATGCCAATTGCACCGTCTCTGACACACACATCCCGATGACCCTAATCACTGAATCAGTCTACCTCATAGGGGGCCTTCCCCTTCTGCGCTGTCCCTCCACCCTACCAAACATGATGTCCCTCTCCAAGGACCTGTCCCTCTTTGCAACATGTCCAAAGTATGTTAGACGGAGCCGTAGAATCCTTGCCTCCAAGGAACAGCCCGGTTTGACCCTTTCCAGGATGAATCTGTTTGTTTTCTTGGCAGTCCATGGTACCCTCAATACTCTTCTCCAGCACCACAACTCAAAGGTATCAATTCTCCTTCTATCCTCCCTAGTCATTGTCCAACTCTGATGCATAACAAGTGATAGCAAAGCCCATGGCCTGTACCTGTGTACACAATGAGTTTAGTAAATGTTAATTTATATGCAATGTTTCCAACCATTAAAGGCTAAAATTCATTGCTGTCAAGCTGGGACCAACCATAGCTGACCCTATAGCTGGTTTTCCAAGGCTGTATATCACAGAGGAAATTGCCTGCCTTTCTAACTCAGAGCCACTGGTGGATTTTGGGTTAGCAACTCAACTCCCACATAGAGAACTGCCAGATATTCGGGCTGAGTTTAGAGGAGGCTGTGGCACCAGATATCATTGTTGATGACAGATGAATTCTGACTAAAAGTAAAGAATACCAGAAGAAAGTCTATTTATGTTTTACTGACTATACAAAGGTATTTGACTCTCTGGATCATCATAAATTATGGCTAACATTGAGAAGAATGATTCCAGACTACTTGATTTGCATGCATGCAAAATGCATTCCTAGACCAAGAGGCTCTTGTGTGAACAGAGCAAGGGAACATTCCATGGTTTAGAATCAGCAAAGGTATTTATCAGGATTGTATGCTTTCTCCATACCTACTTAATCTATTTGCTCAGCAAATTAAACAAGAAGCTAGGCATGTTGCAAGGAGTGACCAATCCTTGGAGAGACACATCATGCTTGGGAGTGTAAAGATAGCACAAGAGAGAAAGACCTTCAATGAGATGGATTGATTCTGTGACTGGGGTAATGGGGTTAGGTGTGTCTGAGAGAATAAGGTTGGCACAGGATAGAGCAGGGTTCAGAGCTGTTGTACATTAGGGTCTCAATGAGTCACAAGCTACTCGATGGCGCATAACAACAACAGACTCTGAAGAAACGTGACATCAGGATTGGAGGAAGACCCATCAGTAACCTTTGTTATGCACATGACACAATTTTGCTTGCTGAAAAAGAGGAGAACTTGAAGCACTTGCTGCAGAAGATTGAACACTGCAGCCTTCAATTTGGAGTGAGTTGCATCTCAACATCAAGAAAACAAAAATCCTCACTGGACCAATAGGCAATGTTATGAAGGATGGAGAAAGGATTGAGACTGTAGTCACTTCATCTTACTTGAATCCACAGTTAGTACACTTTGTAACAGCAGTCAAGAGACATATTGCACTAGGAAAGTCAGAAACCTCTCTAAATTATTGAGGAGTATGGATGTCAGTTTGAGGACTTATGTGTGCCTGATTAAGGCCAGTGTCTTTTCAGTCACTTGCTGTACGTCTGATAGCTGGATAATAAATAAGGATGACAGAAGAATGAATGCCTTTGAACTGTGTGAAAAGAGTGCTGGAGATCCCATGGGCTGCAAAAAGAACAAACAAATGCCTTGGAGAAGGTGCAGCTAGAACACTCTTTGGAGGAAAAGATAATAAAGCTTCATCTCACATACTTTGAACATGTTACTAGGAAACATTATTCCTTGGAGAGAAACATCATGCTTGGGAAGGTGGAGGAACGACGAAAGAGAGAAAGACCCTCAACCAGGTGGGTTGACACAGTGCCTACAGCAATGGGCATGACTGTCAGAGATTGTGAAGATGGCATGGGATAGAACAGGGTTCCAGTTGATTGTTCATGAGTTTGCTCTGAGCCACGCTTGACTCGATGGCACCTCCCAGCAACAGTAGCTCAACTCCCTGTGGATCAGACTACCAGAGGTCCCTATCGAAGACAAACAGAAATGATATTTATGAATATACTGATAATAAAAGACAATAGTAATAACATCTTAAAAAGTGAAGTATTAGAATGAGTTGAAAGACAGTTATTAGATTGGAACCCTGTAATAAGTTGGAGACTTTGGTCCATCTGCCTGTAGAACTAGCTGAGGTGGAGCACTTGCCTTCATTTCATCCTGTCTCTTTAGTCTAGGTTGACAGATTCTGCTGATGTGGTTGTTTAGATACTTTGATAGATCTCTTTGACAAAAGAATATGTAACAATTCCTTTGCTGTCCTTTCTAGAGGCACTTTGCTCAGTTTTAACAACATAGTTTCTTTTCCAACTATTGTGACATTGAGAGCTATGAGCAGAAAATCTCTTGGAATACCCTCTATGAGGCAATATAGGAGCCACTAATAGGTTTGAAGAACTCTAACCCTCAGAAAGACAAACGCTTCTCAGGGACCATCAGGCTTAAGTCCAACCCAATGCTCCAGGTTCTCTGTGTGTGTTCTTGAGGATCAGCAGCACTGTGATGAAGGGAAGGCTGTGGATATCCCCCACATGGACACCAAAGTGCTTGAAAAAACTCAACAAGAATAGGAATCTAGTAAAAAAGCTGGCCAAGAAATATGATGTGTTTTTGTCCTCTGAATCCCTGATCAAGCAGATCCCAAGAATCCTAAGTCCAGGCCTGAATTAAGGCTGGCAGTTCCCGTCTCTGATTACCCACAATGAGAACATGGTGACAAAAGGAGATGAGATGAAGTCCACCGTCAAATCCCAGATGAAAATGAGTCTTTGTTTAGCAGTGGCTGTTGGCCATGTAAGAATGACAGATGATGAACTTGTTTACAACATCCACCTGGCTATCACCTTTCTGATTTCACTTCTAAAGAATTGGTAGAATATTCAGACTTTTAACTTCAAGAGCACCATGGACAAGCCCCAGCATTTCTACTAAGTTTCAACACTGTAGTTTGAAAAAATCTTCTAAGTTTTGGAGGGTTTTCTGTTCTTGTTGGTAGTGGTTTTGTCAGTTCATTTCTCAATCAATCTCTTTTTACCTTGAATTTTACAATAAGCAGGAAGGAGAAACCGTACAGCCCCTTTAGGATGTTGCTTATAATTCATCTAAACAAATGTCTTTATTCATCCTTTACAATTTCTACCTTCTATAAAACATCTTAGTGGAATTCAGAAAAATTCTTTTTAAAAATTTTATTAATTTTAATAAACATTGACAAATTTTGGATTTCCATTCATTCATTGTTGCACAATTCAGAAAAATTCTTGTTGTTCAAGTATGCAGTAACCTGTTCACCATTTCCCTGTAAAACCTCACCAGAACCAGTTTTTAAAATCCACATTCTTAGGAACACTCTGTTGAGGATGACAGAAGATTTTACTACATATCCTCATTTTTTTGTGACTCAGATCAGATCAGAACCACCTTTAGTGTCCATAAGTCTTAACAACAGTCTCTTCAAAGTAACAGACTTTTATAATCAAGTACCTCAAAATATTACCCAGTTCTAAAGAGCTACATCAGCATTTTTAGATATTTGTTAGAGCAACATCTCCATCCTGTGGAAAGTCTGCCTTTGTTTTCTAGTGTTCCTGTGACTAAAAAATAAAAACAGATGGATGGCTCTATCAGGAAATAAGGAGGCATGCATTGCACTGGCAAAGTCTGCAGTTAGGGAACTCTCCAAATTTTTGAGGAGTAGTGATGTCAGTTTGAGGACTGAAATGAGTCTGATTCAGGCCATGATCTTTCCAGTCATTTGTTGTTCATCTGAGAGCTGTACAGTGACTAAGGATAACGGCAGAAGAATTGATGCCTTTGAGGTGTGGTGTTGGAGAAGAGCACTGAACATCCCTTGGGTGGTAATAAGAACAAACAAATATGTCTTGGAGAGGGTTCAGCCAGAGTGCTCTTCAGAGGCAAGGATAATGAGGCTTTGTCTCACACATTTTGAGCATGTTCCTAGGAGAGGCTATTCCTTGGAGAGGGACATGATACTTAGAAGAGTGGAGGGTCAGTGAAAGAGAGGAGGACCCTTGACCAAGTAAATTGACACAGTGACTGCCTCAGTGATTCTAGTGTGTCAGAAGGTGTGTAAAGGGCACAGGATAGAACAGGGTTCAGATCTGCAGTTCATAGGGTCACTATGAATTGTACTCGACTGAACAACACTTAACAACAACAAGTTATGGAGGCTGTATTTGAATTTCAAGTCTCAGCTTTAGGGTAAAGTCCTTTCTTCTTTTAGCTTCTACACTCCACTGGCAAACATTATTAACATAACTGAAGAAAACCAGTTATTTCTAAATAATCATGCATACTGATTCAAGAATTAGAAATTCAACATTTATTTGGGGGAGTTCCCAGCCATGAAATTAATTTTTATAAAAACCTGCTAGTTAATTATTATTTTTTATGTTTCAGTACTCTTTTCTAATACACATTTTTTCACATGATGACAAATTATTGATATATTATTGATATAATGTGTCAGTAGCAGCTGCTATATGTAATTGCCTTCTGATACCTTCCATGACCTATTTTCTAAGTATCTGGTGTGTGTGAGTCGGTTCTGACTCATTGGTACCAAACAACAAACAACAACATATATAGTGAGATCCCTGCCCTGCCAGGACATTACCTGCTCTATGTGAGGTCCAGTCTGCACTCACCCCTCCGACATGGCATGCTGGGTGATGTACTAGCGCTTGGAATTATTGCCTTTAAGCCACGGAATTCTTATAGTTCGATTATTTTATTTTATATTATCAAAGATTTTAAAAGTATGCTTTTTATTTGTTTTTAATAATTTTAGATTAAAGAAACATTAGAAGACAGTGCACATACACTCAACATACCATCCATTCTATTTCTCCTTCTTGGACAAGCATGGCATTTTGGTCAAAACTCAGAAATTTATATTAGTATATTACCATCAGTTAAACTACAGACATCATTTGAATTTTGCTAATTTTTTCACTAATAGAGGTTTCTGGTTTTTTGGGTTGGGTTTTTTTTTTTTTTTAATTTCCAGGGTCCATTTTGAGAGCTAATACTACAGTCAGTTGTTTATTTTTTAATAATTTATCTAGCCTGCAGTATTTATTTTAAAGAATAATACTATAATATAAAGATAACAAATTTTGACACTATAGAATGCACAAAGTTACCTTTGTTACCTTGAAAATATGATAGCAAAATATTTAAATTGACCTGTTTTTAAAAATTTTCTTTTTATAGAGATGATGAAAGACAAAAAGTGTGCTTGATCATAATTTATAAGATGATGGCAAAATTGAAACCAGTAGAACTTCGAGAGCTTCTGACTTCTGTAGTAGAATTTATTTCCCATCCCTCTCTAACATGTAGGGAGCAAATGTATAATATCCTCATGTGGATTCATGACAATTACAGGTAAAATGTACATTGTTATGTTGTGTCTTAGTTATCTAATACCACTATAACAGAAATATCACAGATGCATGGCATTTATCACAAAGAAATTCTTTTCTCAAGATTTAGAAGGTTGAAGGGTTTAGGGTGTTAATTCTGGAGGAAAGTCTTTGTCCCTTCATCTTATTTCCTGATATTTTAGAGAGCTGATATTCTTGGCATAACCTTCCTGCTTCCCTGCTGGCTTCATGCTTATTCAGTTTATTTTGTAGCTCAAAAGAGATTAGCTTAAGATCCAGTCTACACTAGTGCTGCATTATTAACCTCACAAAGCCAACCCGTTCCTAAGTGGGGAGGCAGGGTTGAGTTTAGGGGATCCTGTTAGGATTTATAACATAAGTTTACTTCAAAGGGTCATTTAGATATTTTTAGCAGTCAGTACACAGTAATAAGAATGCTTATATGAACTGCTTTTATCATAATAGTAGGACGCTGGTGGGCAGTGGTAGAATTCTTGCTTTCCGTTGTCATTTCCTGGCTAGGGATCTCGTGTGCAGTGACCACCTGTTTCAATGAAGAGTGTTTCTATGTGTCTCATTGTGTGTTGCTACGATGCTTAACGGATTTTGTCGGAGGTTCTTGACTGAGACAGATTAAGCCTGGCAATCTACTTCTGAAAATGTCCTGGTGAAAATCCTTTTAGAGTACAGTCACCCAGGCACAACTATAGTATTTTGTTCCTTTGTGCCTGGGATTACCATAAATACTATTAGCAACAGTGCCAACTCCTATATTATTACTGTATATAGCAAGTTTATTTTGGGGTGTTGAAACAAATCCTTCTTTTATTCGTTTTTACCCATGAGTAGGTAAAAGTCAGCATGTTAAATTTTTGGTGGCCTAGTAGTAAGAAGCTGCACTTCAATCCCAAAGGACATTTCAGTCCATGAAGGATTAGAAAGGGCAGTCTCCTCTCATGTGATTTACTGCCCCTGAAAACTTGCTAGAGGGTCAGCTATGGATAGGTTCCAAATTGACGTTTACAACAACATATAACTTCTGTGGAAGTACTTTTCACACTGAAGAAACATTTGTCAACACCTCCTGGGACTGCAGACCTTTTCAAGAACTTGTTAGCATCTCCAGAGGATCATTCAGCCCTGATTCTGCCACCCCACCCCTCACCATTTTCCCCCTTGTCTGTGAACCTCTGTCACTGCTTAATGACTGGTGGGACATGCGGCATGAAAGGAGGGTGGCAAGATCAGCTTCCACTGTAACTTTGAAAGATTAAATCCCATGAAAAAGGCAGTAGTTGATTTGGGGGTTTTTTTTGGGAGTTTTATTTTACTCAGTGTTGCTTGGTTGAGCAAAAGTGATAGAAAAAAATATTAATATCTTATCATTTTTCTTAAACAGAGACCCGGAAAGTCAAACAGATGCTGAATCCCAGGAAATATTTAAGATGGCAAAAGAGGTGTTGATTCAAGGACTAGTCGATGAGAATCATGGGCTTCAGTATGTTCTCTTCCTGGAATAATTGGGCCAGACAATTTTAGAGTTCTGTCTTTCTGGACTAGCTTCCAGTACTAGAAATGTGTTTGTATAATTAACATTTTTTTTCCGCTTTCTTTTTATTATAATGTTTACTAAAAAATATTTTTTAAATCACATTATTAAGAGTACACTTAAAAAATCCTGACCGTTATTTTATTCTTTTTTTTTTTAATTCATTTTAATGAAAGTTTACAGAGACTTAGGGTTTCCAGTCATTCATTGTTGCACTTTTCTCCCTGCTGACCCTCTCCCCCCCAGTTCACTCTCCTCCTTGAAATGTAAAAGAAAAACTCTTTCATTGTTATGCAGTCCCTACCCCCAAGTTCACTCCACTGTGCAGCCTTTATTCTGGACTTCTGTCATGACAATAATACCCAATCATATATCCCTTTAAACAGTTCTCCCTCATCTGTTACAATGCTGTATACATCATTCCTCCCCTCCTTCTCTATCTTCCCTCAACCCCGATGTCAGTTATTTTAAAACTTGAAAAGAAAAATATGATTTTAGAAGAAATGCATTATAGTGCTCTTTGGAGGCAAGAATAGTGAGAATTCTCACCTTACAGACTTTTAGCATGTTGTCAAGAAGTGTCCATCCTTGGGAATGACTTCATGCTTGGAATAGTAGAGTGTCAGTGAATGAGAGGAAGACCTTCAGCACGATAGGTTACACAGAGGACTGTAACAATGGGCTTTAAGCGCAGCCGAAGAGCATGATTGGACAGGGTTTCGATCTGTCGTGCCATCAGAGTGGCTGTGAATCAGAACTGACTAGGTAGCACCTAAAAACAAGTTCTGAGTATTTTATAACAGTGATTTTCTGAGTTGATTGTATTAAGTAGTGATATAATTTCTTAAAATGTTTTCTCACCTATTACACAAAGAAAAAAACTCCAAAAACTATTTTCTCACAGTCAGTATTATACAGTCATCATTGAAAACTTTTAAGGTAATCAGATGATAACAAAAATCACCCATTTTCTCATCTCTTCTTAAATATACTGGATTTTTTTTTTTTAGGATAATCCCTTTCTGCAGTGCATACCATTTTCACCCTGAGTTCTTTCTAGGTTGAGGATGTCCCTTTCTAGGTTGAGATGTGCCTTCCCCATCTGCCATTGTGCATAGTACATCTTTTCTCACTTGCTGGTTTCTAAGCATAAGCTTTTCCCTCTCTGCTTTACAGATTAATTATTCGAAACTTCTGGAGTCATGAAACTAGGTTACCATCACATACTTTGGACCGATTGTTGGCACTAAATTCATTATATTCTCCTAAAATAGAAGTGCACTTTTTAAGTTTAGCAACAGATTTTCTGCTTGAAATGACCAGCCTAAGCCCAGATTACTCAAGTCCCTTGTTTGAGCATCCTCTGTCAGAATGCAAATTTCAGGTGAGGTACTTCTCTCTTTAATATTAATAAATATTGTAATTTTTCCTGTTATTTAGTTAAAAATATTTGCTCCATTTGGAATGTTCTCCAGTTCCTTTTGGGAACCTCTGCCTGTATTCACTCCTGTACCACACTCTTCACCAAGACACTTTCTGCTCAACCACCCTGGAACCTGCTATGTACACACATTGGTCTTTGAACAGACTGGTGTAGAGGCTTGACTTGCCCATTTCGACGGCATCCAAAACAAGTTATTGGGAGCTACATACAGTGGTGCATTAGTTGTACCTGTCTCCACCAGCCTCCCATGAGGCTTTGTTTTGTCCATGCTTGTGTTCTTGGTATGTATCCTAGTACCTGGCACATGGTAAACTTGAAGGAAATATTTGAGCCATTTAAGTTTCTGAATTTGTTTTTAGTGCCACTATTTAATATTACATAAAATCTTTGAATGCAAAATGCTAAGGAGTCAAGAAACAGATAAATACAGTTGGATTTTGGTGTGAATGGTTACTTAATTTAAAGTTTTATATTTACAAAGGTTTTTCTTTAGCTGTTTCCCACAGAGAAATATAACTTATGGTACATACTTGCAAGTGTTACTGTTAGAGTTAAAGCAAAACCATTTCAGTATTGATAAAGGAAGAACATTTGTTTATGAGAAACTTTCCTTTATGCAGGAATACACTATTGATTCTGACTGGCATTTTAGAAGCACTGTCCTCACTCCACTGTTTATTGAGACTCAAACCTCTCAAAATGCTGCCCAGTCTCGAACCCAGGATGGCTCCCCTACAGCCCCAGGGCTAATGGCTGGGCAAGTACGGGCTACTCAGCAGCCCTGGAACTTCACACCTACCCAAAATACAGGTAATCACCTATCTGAACACATTCTGGTCCAGTAAGTGAAATCAGTAAGCCCAAGGCATTCTGACTTGTAGAGGCAGCCTCTGCTTTCAAGAATATGAACTTCTTGTAAGTGAAAGAAGATAAGAATCATGAGAAATATGTGTTAGTTAAAGGAGGGAATGGGTTGATTCTGATTGAAGAAATAAGAATATGTGTCCATACATAAATATCTTGTTTTATTGTCCAGAAAAATCTGTTGGGTGCATCAAATTTAAAATTTTACACAACTAGACATGTTATAGGATTTATTTGGTTTAGAGCTTTATGTTCATGATTTCACAGGCTATCCCTATTAATTGGCCTAGTAGTCAGGTCTAAGGTTTTTGTTCTCCCTTCTAACTTTTTGCATAGTGCTTGTGTTCTTAAAGACTTAAACACAGCCATCCAGGGTACAGTTTGGTCTCTTGTCAGTCTGGGACAGCAAAGGAAGGAAGAGGGTCAGGAGTAAGTGGGGCTTATGAAGAAAAGTTACCTCCTTTTCCATCAGACAGACCAGAACTGGATGATACCTGCTTACCATTTGATCAATCTTTAGAAAAATTCTAATCCAAAGAAAGAAAATCCTGAATAGAAATTCAGATTCTCATGGGACCTAGACTTTCTGGAGCCACTGAGGGTAAATGAACCCTGACTAAACCTTAAACCAAGCATACCACCTTGAGTCTTCATTAAAATAAACATTAAGTTAATTAGTAAAGATTATATGGGATCACATTGAGCACCAACTCAAAAGATTAGATAAGAAACTTAGAGGCAGTCAGTTTGTGTTGTTGGGAGAGGAAAAATTCAAAAGAGTGAGAACAGTTATACAACTTGGAAGAATATAATCAGTGTCCTGGAGTTTTCAATATAGAAACTGTTGAATTAGTGCGTGTTTTGAGGTGTATATCCTCAAAAACAACAATAAAACAAAATAAAATTTTTAACATTTACTGAAGGTTAAACCTTTGAAACTCAAACACTGCTTGTAGGAATATAGTACTCAGTACTATACGTAAAAATTGTTAAGTTGAAGTGTGTTCTGCTGTGCATATTTTCAATAATTATTTTTTTTAAAAAAAAAAGAGGGAAGCACAGCTGGACAAAATTTATTACCTGTGTTTACAATTTAACGTAATTCTTTCTTAAATGGTTCATCTGTTTCCTTTGATCGCCATACTACAAATTGTGTAGAAAAAGATTTTAATTTTTTTTAATACCTTGAAGTGCTTCCTTCATACCAGTTTTCCAGTTCTGAGAATAAATGATTACCATTGCAATTATATTACACTGTATTAGGAATTCTAAGGGGAGCTCTGGTGGCCTAGTGGCAAGGAGCTACAACTACAATCCCAGAGGCACATGGTTCAAATCCACCTGATGCTCTGCTGGGGAAGGAGGGACAATCTCCTCCTGTACCAGTCAGATCTGATTTAATGGTACACTCACACAAAAATAATAAAATAAAATAAAAAGAAATTCTGGATATTTAGTACCAAAAGGGAAAACAATACTCTGTAATAGTACTCTTATGCAGCAGTCTCCAGCTGGCTTGCACACACCAACCTGCTTCTCTTGTATTAGCCCCCCTGTCCCACCCAGACCTACGTCCTGTGCATAGCAGCTAAACCCTAGGCAGGGTTTCCCTCACTTGGTGTGGCTCAGCCACCTGCTCTATTGCTTGGAGGTGTTTACGTGATTTTGGGACATATTTCTAACACATTGTGACATGTACATTTACAGATGGGAGAAGCTCATTTAACTGGCTGACTGGAAGCAGCGTTGACCCATTGGCAGATTACACAGTCCCGCTGTCATCTGACTCCCTCTCTTCTTCCCTGCTGTTTGTCCACAAGAGGAGGGAAAATTCATCCCGAGCATCACTGAAGTCAGTAGGTCCCAATTTTGGGAAAAAGAAGCTGGGCCTTCCAGGGGATGAGCTGGATAACAAAGTCAAAGGTAAAGCAAACCTTGCACAAAGTATTTATGGTAACCTACCCTCTAAATTATTGCATCCCATCTTCTTGCTCTAATTTCCAACTGTATGCAGATGTTCATGTAACCTGTTATTAAGTCCATTAAAACTGAATTCAGTAAATGTCGGTGCTTTCCATGTCGAAGCATAGTTTGAAACATTCTGGACATATGTGTGCACAAGTTAGACTAAAGGCATTGATTTGGAGACTGCCTGGAACATGAAAGGAAGGGCTAGGCAAGAAACCATAATGAATTTCATGGTGCTGCTGCAGAACAAATACCGTTAATATTTTAAGAACAAATCTATTTCTACAATCTGAAAATTAAAACCCAAAATTAGGGTCTTAACTGTATCGGTTCCTTTTGTGATTCACTCTTCCACTTTCTAGCATCTGTTGATAGTACTACTCTCGGGGAGTACTACCCCAGTACTGGAGAGTACTCAGCAGTACTCTCATACATGTATTTGCAGATGATCTGCATGTTACAATCTAATGGTGCCTGAATTCCTGAGGAGGAAGCGCAAGATGCATCCATCTCCTCCTCCTCTGAGGTGGAGATCAGACATACTCCACTCACCAGCTTTATTTCTTTCCAGTTTTGGTACTAGCCATCCTCCCCTCAACATTTTACTTCTCCTCAAGTTTAAGAATTCATTGCAGAGGCCATACAGAACTCACAGACAAAGCTCACCATTATGTAGTTTAATAGAGAAGTCATCAGATACAACTGTTTCGCTGATCATTCAGGATCAGCTCTCAGCCTCTGTGTGTTGGCTGTGCTCACGCTCTGCTGAGGCAAGTGTTACACTTCTTCGGCTCCACTAACAAGTGCCCAGAGATACTATGCTTCTCCAGCACTCCTCTCCATAGATCTGCGGACCCACTGCAGCTGCCTTTTCCATGTGCCAAAACCCCAGTGCAGCTCCCATTTACCATCACATGGTTCCCACTGTTGGTGCCACCCCCATCTTGCCCATCTCTCACAATCTCCAGGTTTACATACTTGCTCTTTCCTGGATCAAGGAGGTTCTCAGCACAGGGACTCCAGATCCAGAGGATGGATGTATACTCCATACTGTTCTTGATGGTAGTGAGGTTCCCTTCTCACTTGGAATTAGCCCTTATGTCTAGCAGGATGAATTGTGTTCCTCTTAAGTATGTGTTGATAGCCTGGCTGAATTCTATGATGATTTAATCATGTAACTGTATCACATGAGGTTAAATAATGCCATTTACCTTTCATAATATAGTCTAATGAAATGAACAGGGTTTTCCTTGATGAAGGGGAGGAAGATCCTTAAGCAGGTAGATTGTTACAGTGGTTTTTAGTGTGTCAAGAAGCTTGAGGATGGCACAGGATAGGACATGATTCAGATCTGTGGTTGGGCTGTACTCAACTCAGTGTCACCTACCAACAACAACAATGAAATGTATTGATCAGGTGCAGTCCTATCTGTATAGGGTGGACCCTTAAACCTAGCCACTTCTGAGTTCAGGGAAGATAAAAATAGATACAGACATGGGGACAATCACTACCTCATAGTAACAGAGGCAGTTACATCTCCAGGGATCGCCCCATGTAGTAAAGAAGGACCACCTCCTAAAGCTAGCCTCCAAGTTTGGACTTGGAGCCTCTTTAACTGTGAAGAATTAAATTTTTGTTCTATGAAGTCATGACCCACCAACTCCAACTGGAAGGGCCTCTGGTGGCCTGGATCATAAAGAATTGCCCAGCTCACCCAAAGCTGGTGCCTCCCTGGTGGTTTGAATCCACTGGTAGTTCCTTGGAAAAAAGACAGCAGTCTCCCTCGTCCCATAGATATACAGCCTCTGATAACTTGCTGGAGGTTAGACTGAGTTGGACTGAGTTAGACTGACTTGACAGCAGTGAGTGTTTTTAATAGTCAACTTGCTTTGTCTTCTTTACGCACAGATGATCGGGCAGAAATATTAAGATTACGTAGACGATTTTTAAAGGATCAAGAAAAGCTCAGTTTAATTTATGCCAGAAAAGGTGTTGTTGAACAGAAACGTGAGAAGGTATGTGTCTTTTTCACCCATGTGATTAGGCATAATTACTTGTTTCAAGTCAGGGAATATACATGCTAGTTAGGAAAACACTATCTGCTCAGGTGCTGGTTGATGTACGTGTGCATAGCTCAGCCACAGAACAGCCTCACATGAGGCTGGCTGTGGATCTCTGTCTACTCTGATAGCCCACAGGTCAAGAGATGGCCTTGGAGTGAGCCCATTGAGCCTCCTGCCCTCTTCTGTGGGGAGCCTGCCTGCCTCCCCAGAACCCCTTCTCTGTCTTTTAATGCTACCTCTCCACAAAGCTCAGACTTCTCCACAGATTGGCTTTCTCAGCATGGAAGAAGAGGCCACTTCTAATTACTACAGCTTAAGTGCTTGGAGACCCTTAGCCACCTTCACAGACGAAACCTCCAAAGACCCTACTGTTCAGGCATGGGCCTGCTTCAGCTCACCCCTCTCCTGGAGATATTCTAGGAGAAAAGGTCAATTGAAACATTGTTTTCAGAGTGTGAAATAATGAATAATGTTGTTTAGCTCTAACTTTGACTTTTCTTATAACTCAATCATTTGACTTAATTGACAAAGAAAAGAGAGGCTAGATTGTGGAAAAAGACTAAATCTTTAGCCATTTCATTAACTCCAATGTATTTTCTGTGGAGGAAGAAGAAATTTCTAGTCTTACTCCTGCCTCTCTCATTACTAATTGTTTTAAAGATGAAGATGCTAAGTTGGAATAACTCAGCAGATTTCCTCTGCTTTGTTACACCATGCTTGACAGCTGAGACCCTTGTTCTGGGTCTGCTTTCTTGTGTCACACTGCACCCCACAACTGAGGGACTTGTTCCTGTCTCTTGCTCAGACTCCAGGGGACGTCTGTGCCTGGTCAGCAGAGAAAGGAACCCTGGTGGCACTGTGTATAAGCGTGTGGCTGGTAACCAGAAAACCAGCACTTCAGATCTACCGGCTGCTTTTCAAGAACAGAATGTGACACTCTGCTCTCTTAAAGATTTACATTAGAAGTCCTGTGGGACAGCTCTGTTTTGTCCTATAGGATCACTGTGAATCTGAATCTGCACCACAGCAGCAGGACGTTTTTTCCCCTCCTCTGAAGTTTCTGGGAAGTGTTTTGTTGTGTCACACGGAGCTGAGCAGGTGGCATTGGTACTCAGTGTGTGTGCAGCAGGCCCCAACAGCATGCTCAGCGTGTGTGCGTGTGTGTGTGTGTGTGTGTGTGTGTGTGTGCAGCAGGCCCCAGCAGCATGCACAGTGAGAGTGTGCATGTGTGTGTGTGCGTGCGTGCAGCAGGCCCCAACAGCATGGGGTGTGTGTGTGTGTGTGTGTGTGTGTGTGTACAGCAGGCCCCAGCAGCATGCTCAGTGTGTGTGTCCTCTTTGAGTCACTTGTGGCCCATTAAGGAAATAAGTACCTTACTTGGGAAGTTCTGTGCTCTGTGCCATAATGTGCTCATAATGCTGCATGCATATAAGCCCATAAAGATCTCCTGTCACAAAGACCTATCCTGAAAGAAGCAAGACAGACAATGTATTTTAAGGGATTGTATTTTAAATAAATGGAGACTGATGGTAAAAATGTAGAGAAGACACTCTAGTCCATGGAGGAAAAGAAGATAAAGCCTGCTGGGGCCATAGCCCTGTGACTGGTGTTTCAGGGAAGATCCAGATCAAATTCTCCCATTTTGTGACTGTTTGGGTTACTTTGAAAGAAGCATTTGAATTATATTTTCCCTGTTCACCTGCCATAACCACTTCTGTCTTGAGTTTGTTTTCTCCCAATGAATGCTACCATGGCAGCCTGCCATTTCCAATGATATCATCATTGCTTGGCCAAAAAATCAAAGTTGTATCTAAGACACTACTGATTCTCTAAAATAAAAGTTCTCTTTTTCCTTTTCTAACTGTTGCAGGAGATCAAAAGTGAGTTAAAAATGAAGCAGGATGCCCATGTTATTCTGTACAGAAGTTACCGTCAAGGAGACCTTCCAGACATCCAGATCAAACACAGCTGTGTGATCACCCCCCTGCAGGCTGTGGCCCAGGTTTGTCCCTGGGTGGGCTCATTTTCTATTCAAAGGAAAGTAAAGTCTGCTTAACAGTTCTGGGCTTGACCATATTTAGGGTGACACTATCACAAATGGAATGCTGATTGTCAGAGGGATGATCTTAATTATAAAGTCTTGTCTCAGTTCTAGCTCTGCCCTTCATTTGTTCTGTATCTCCTTTCCATGACATAGAGTCACCTAGAACTTGACCCTCATCACTTGTGTCGTTGAGCCACAATGTCTCCATCTATACAACTGGAAAATAAAATCCAGTTTTCTTGCTTAATGATGTTAAATCAGAATGAAATAATGAGTAAGGTATTATAATTTTGGTTATACAAAATACAGCAGTTTTTGCAAAATCAGAAGAGTATCAGTTTAGCTTCGTTCACACCACTATTTCTAGAGCATTCACAATATCTTTGGAAGTCATTTTTCTACAAAGTTTATTTGAGCATAAAATAAGGTATTGAGTGTGGATGAGATTCCTGACTTGTATTCTTTGGTAAAAACAGGATATTTATCCCTAGAGTACAGATTCACTTTCCTTTGATTTACACTGAAATAATCCTTTAAAATATATCTGAAAATTGTAATACATACAGAATAATGCTATACAATAAACCATAATACCTTATCTTTTATTATTCTTGATATTTTCCTTAATAATGTTGATTATGATAATAGGTTATGTGTACCTAGCTCTATAGTAAGTTTTAAACTTATTTTGAAATAAGTAAAGATTTAAAGGAAGTCACACAAATACTGATGGCTCCCTTGTAGCCTTTCCACCAGCCTCCATCAGTGATGACTTTGTATCTGACAGTACCACTACATCCAGATCGCGAGTTAGGCATGGGTACCATAGTGCTGCCTAGACTTGTGTGTGTGTGTGTCTGTGTTTGTACTTTAGTCCCAAGTACTGAGTCATGTAATTACCAGATCTTTCTTACTATTGTTGTTGTGTGCCAGCACATCACCTGCGAATCCTAGCAATCCTATATACAATAGCTTTGAGCCCTGCCCTGTCCTGAGCCAGTCTTACTGTCTCTGACAAACCTACCCCATAACCCCAGTTACTGTCAGTCTCTCTCATCCAGGGTCTTCCTCTACTGTACTGTCCCTCCACCCTTCGAAGCATGATGTCCCTCTCCAAGACCTGGTCCCTCCTGGCCACATGCCTAAAATATGTGAGATGGAGCTTCAAAATCCTTGCCTCCAAGGAACAGCCTGGTTTCACCCTCTCCAGGATAAACCTGTTCTCTTGGCAGTTCATGCTCTTCTCCAGCAGCACAACTCGAAGGCATCAATTCTTCTTCTGTCAACTCTAGTCATTGTCCAGCATAGCAAGTAATTGCAAAGACCATGGCCTGAATCAGGTGTACCTTAGTCTTTAGCACTTTGAGGAGATCCCTGACAGCAGTTTTACCCAGAGAAATTTGTCTTTTGATTTCCTGCCACCCTCCCAGCCTGTTGTCCCACCACACACATTACTACTTCATTGCATCTGGTTTGATGCTTGCTGGTAAGGCAGATGTATGTGCTCAGAGTACAGGTGGACACTTGGGGCTGCATGGCACTCAGATCCTCAGTCCTGTCAGCTCATCTTACATATGCCTGGAAAAAGCAAAGGCAGTGGATACTATTTTGAAAAAGTATGAGAAAACATTTTTCTGTTTTTCAAGTACTATTGTTTGATAGTTCTTAAATTTCAACAGTTAGTATTATTTTTTCACAACTGGGCAATGTGTTTAATATAGACCAAATATCAGCAATGTATTTACTTAACACTATAGGAAATTTCAAAACTTAGTTCTGCCAATGTTTGTTTATGGTATAAGTCCTATAGCCAAAGTTGAAGCTCTTTGATACCGCATTGGACAGTGATAAACCAGTCACCACTATGACCTGTCCTCCAGGATCCCTTCACTTAAAAGCCATCATGCTGTCCTAGAAAAGGATTGAGTGCAATGGCCAGGAAGGTTCAGGAACTGGCACATAAGGCTCAAGAAGCAGTGAGTCAAACACACAAAGCCTGTCTACCATGTATTAAATGGGAAGAAACATTCCATTTAAACCACATTATAATATTTGTGTATCAAGAAAAAGCCAAATCTAAAAAAAAAAAAAAAAAAAAAAAGAAAAAGCCAAATCTGATTGTCTCTATAAAATAATTATGGGGGATTTTTTACCTAATCCATATTTTTTAAAATTTTACATAGAATCTATTCTAATTTATGTCACATAAATTACTTAAAAGAAATTTGTGCTCTTTATTCATATATAGCTTTTATCTAAGAAAATAATTTCTAAATTTTATTCACCATCACCATATCTTTATGCCTTCATTTAACCACTTTACATGCTAAGGTATAACAAATGAAATTCTAATTCTTTTGTGTTCCACTTTGGTTCTGCTACATCTCTTGCTTGTGGCCTGCTGGTTCCCACTAGTCCCTTGAGTTTGATGCTTTGCTAGGATGACTCAAGGAAAGTGCTATATTTCTATTTATCATTTTTTTGTGGCAGAAAAATGCCAATGAGCAGACACATAGGGCACATCTAAGAGTGGTCCCAACATGAAGTGTCTGTGTCCCAAAAAGAGACCTGTTGTCCCTTTTGTGCTTTGATGTCTTTCACCAACCAGGAAACTATAATGTGTTCGTGTCCAAATCCTTTCAGGCAACACTTGTGCTAATGATTGAGTAAGTCATTCCCCGTGTGACTCAACCCCTGGCTCTGCTGCCTCCCTGAAGGTCAGCTCTTGACACATGGTTGGTCTCTGGCCTGTCCAGCTCTTGCCCAGAAATTGCCTGATTAGCATCAACTCCATGGCATGGTCTGGTTCTGTCTTAGATGACAAGACTGGAGAGATCCCAGGCCTTTAGTGGTAGTCTCTCTAGAGTCAAGGGAAGACACTATTTTGGGGTAAGGTTAATTATAAACTCCGTAGATGCAGCTGGCCAGGAACTGTTTTTGGTGCTAGAATGTTAAACGAACAGCTTAAGAAGAGGTGTTCTGAGGCTGCGCAGCTTAAATGGTTATTAACTTGATTTGGTATTTCAGGGTGGGACTTGAAGTTTAACATTGATATTTAAGGTCATCAATTACTTATTTTCAACTTAACCATGATACTGACAACCTAAAATCTAATTATATCTTTTTCTGAGACTATACCTAACATTGTACTATAAAAGGTGAGAAAGAAGTATTTCTTGTCTGATCTTCATGATGATACTGTGAGATTTATTCTGTTTCAAAGGTGGGAATACTGAGGCTCAGACTTACTCAGTGTGGTCAGACACCCACTGTTCAATCCAAATCTCCATACCCTGCTTGCTTTGACAAGACTAGAGTGAACAAATTTATTGTGTGATTATAAATACTCTCCTCTGAATGTTTTTTAAACCTTCTTAATAGAATTGAGATGTATACTACATATGTTTTTATTTCCAAATAGAGATCTCATGATATTGGTGAATTACACAATTTTTTTACTGCAGACCCTAATATGTCTTTGTTTTAAATATTTTACAGAGAGACCCAATAATTGCAAAACAGCTCTTTGGCAGCTTATTTGCTGGAATTCTAAAAGAGATGGATAAATTTAAGACCATGTCTGAAAAAAACATCATTACTCAGAAGTTGCTACAAGACTTCAATCATTTTCTTAATAGTACTTTCTCTTTCTTCCCACCTTTTGTCTCTTGTATCCAGGTAAAAATCTATACTCTTCATGCAACAGATATTGTCTATATTTGTTTTGCATGACTGTGAAAATAAATTAGCAAGATCAGTATGTACAGTTATTCACAATAGTAGGAACATGGAAACAGCTGAAATGTCCATCAACAAATGACTAGATTGAAAAGCTGTGGTACAGTCACATAATGGAATACTATGCAGCACTTAGGAGTAACAGTTTTGAAAAATACTATATAACTTGGGAGAAGCTAGAGAGCATTCTGCTGAGTAAACTAACTCAGGAAGATAAGAATAAATATTATGGGCGAGCTCTGGTGGCCTAGTGGCAAGAAGCTGCACTGCAGTCCCAGGGGTGTGGAGTTCAAATCCATCAGATGCTCTGCTGGAGAAGGAGGAACAATCTCCTCCTGTACCAGTCAGATCTGATTTGACGGTACATACACACACACAAAATAATAAAAAAGAATAAATATTATGTAAGCCCATTATTATAAAAACAGGATAACCCATGAGATATATATGGATATACAAATGGTCTTTAGCTGATGTTTCTGAAGAGTAATGAGTACTTAGAACTGTGCCACTACTGAAAGGAAATCCTATCTGAAAATGTGCATTTTTGTTCCAGGGCTAGGTCATGCTCACACCATCCTTTGGGCCCTCTGCTGGAAACATAGAATCAAGTCTCAAATGATGCCTTTTTAATTGTATCCTCTTGTATTGTAGATGTGGGACCATAATGTATTATACCACTGTGAATATAAAATAACTTGTACCTGCTTTATGATATATAATTGTAACTGTGCTCTATCAGAGCTGTTTTTCTAATGATGTTATTCTAGAAGGTTTTCTTTCCAGATCGTGATTGAGAAGTTTAAAAAAACAAATGGTGCCAGGTACAACAGGAACAGAACTTTGCTGTTTTCTATGGTTTTGTTTTGTATCTCTTTTTTTAAAAATGGAGTGTGCTGGATGTCTCTATTATTTTTGTTCTGAAAAGCTGTTGATGCATAACACATTGTGATTGGCCTTTTTATATACCATTGTGTCGGAACTGACCCATAGCTGACCCTCCAGTGGGTTTTCAGACAGTAAATCACATGGGAGGAAATTGTCCACCCTTCTCTCATGAAGCACCTGGTGAATTTGAACTGCAAGCCTATGGATTACAGTGCAGTTTCTTGCCAGTAGGCCACCAGAGCTCCCTAAATACACACACACACACACACACACCTTTTTTAATTTTTAGAAACTAGCTGTGCTGTCACCTTTGGAGAAAGTATCCCATTTGTACTGTGTTGCATTGGCATTGTACAGAAATTAACAGTCATATTGGTCTAGAAATTTTAAACTCACACACACACACACACACTTGTACTGGGGTAACACCCTGTATTAAATATGTAAAATTTTATCTACATGGGTTTAATTACAGAAGCTAACAAAGTATTCTGTTTAAAATTAATAAATTAGCAAATTCAGACCCTTGATAATAGTATTTAACAGAGTAGAAGTATTTTGGATTACTTCCTTCCAAATGGATAGTCTACCACCTCCCCCGAAAAAATTGTGCACAACAGAATAATCAGAAATCAAATGGTATCATGTTGATTTATTTTGTAATAAGCTAGTCAGTGTTTAATAAAAATCTGCATTTTGTTTAGTTGATTGTCCATATTTAGTTTTGTTCTGAATTCTTTCCTGTCTCCTGACTGATTTGTTCACAATGATGAGGATACTAAAGGCTGTAACCTTTTACAACTTAAAGGCTGTAACCTTTTACAACTTACATTCTACAGGTGATTGGTAATAATCAGACTTATGTAGGATATAACCTCTGGTAGCAAGTGTGTGCTTGAAGAGGAGTACTAAAGTAATTATAGCACTACAGTCAGTACTAAAGTAACCTAAGTACTAAAACAGCCGCAGCACAACAGTGGATAATTGTGCTTGAGGATTGGTAGTAAAGTAACTATCTACCACACTACAGTCAACACTAAAATGAGCTGAGTATTAAAGTGACTGTAGCAACACGGTGTGTAGTGCTTGAGGAGGCGTACTGAAGTAACTACAGCAGGGATGAGTGTCTCCTGCCAAGGTGGTTGGAGGTTTTTTCTTGGCTGATGATACTTTTCCTTAAACATACTTATTGGAGGATTAATTTCTTTTCATGAGAGAAGTGTTTTCTTAGCCATTCACATAAATTTTCAAAGCTTTATTAGAAAATGTTGTTGATTACTTTTATCATTTTTGTAACTAGTAAAATCCTTGTAGTGATTGCAAAATATTATTCTTTAAAAAATTATTTATTAATAGCATTGATTTACAGGTGAATAAGGGAATAATTCCTTGAAATGAAATACTTAGTTTTCCTGATTTAGTCTTTTTGATAGAGATTAAAAGCATAAGGACAATTCTTTATATTTTATTTCTATTCTTATTGCGAGTGAGCTTTGATGGCACAGTCTTTAGGGAGTTGTGCTGCTAACTCCAAGGTAGCCCCTCTTTAGCAGTTCAAATCCCCAGCAGTTCCCCAGGAGAAAGATGGGAAGTCTCCTCCCATGCAGTCTATAGCTTCTGAAAACCTACTGAAAAGTGAGCTAGTAACTTATAATTATATTTTTAGAAATTAAAATGTATAGTTTTAATTTATAAAAATGTATTCTTTAATTTCTATGGAGTAATAATTTATAAATTAAAAAGAATTCAAACAAAGGCATCCCCGTGACGCAAACTCATGGAAAATCCCACTTGCATTAGAAAAGAAATCCACCCCAGTGGCTTCTGGTGTTTGATTGTCTGGAAGGAGGTTGCCAAGCATTTCTTTCAGTTTGGACTCAGGCTGCTAAACTTGCTGTTAGTAGCCAAGCATGCTGGGAGTTAGAACCAACCCATGGGTGACCCTCCAGTGGATTTTCAGAGCCAATAATCCCAACCAAACGTAGACTCTTATAATTTCTAAATGGGCTTCCTTTATTGCTTTTCTTCTGGCCACATTAAGATGAAACATTTTGAAGAATTGAGTGTCACATCAGCCACTTTTTTAGAATGCTTTTCTTTATATTTTGAAGTTATTTTTAAAATCTTAATTCCTCATGTTGTCCCTGTATTTCTCCAGTTTTGTTTGAGAGGATCATTAGCCATTGCTTAGTCAACAAGTACCCTCTGTGCCTTTCCCTGGGCCTGACAGTTGACCATGACCTTGGAAAAGGCATTAGAAGTGCTGACCAGGGCCTTCATTACATACTTGCTGTTAAAACTGTGTTTGGAGCCCACATCTAAAGCCAAAGTGTTATTCACATTCCACAGCCTTCCACTGCATTTACAGACCTTCTCCTTCTTTTTAAAGAATATTTCATTGTGTTTTGGCTGAAGGTTTCCATGGTGGATGAGCTTCCCATTCAGCATTTTCTACACTTGTTGTGCAGTGAAATTGACCACATCCATCACACTATGTGAACATTTTCATTGTTTTCATTCTGTTTGTTCCTTTTTCATTAATCTTGTTTCCCTGCCCCCTTTACAGTCTTACCTTTGCTTTAAAGTAATTGTTGGCCATTTGTTCTGACATAATTTTCTAAAGGAGTGCAATACTCATAGGTGATATTCTTTTGTGAGCTGGTTTTTAATCTACCTGAAAAACAACTTCAGCTTCACCTTCCAGGATAAATATTCCTGGAGATGGTGGTTGTTTGGACATATAGAAATCTGCACATTATGGTAGATAAGTTTCTTGCTTTCTAACTGGAAATAATTTAACTACTCCTGAAGTGTAAACTAAGGTCATTTCCTTCTTTGAGTAAATTAAATGTTGAGGAAAATGTGTTAATAGAATTACATAGAGAAGTTCCTGCTTACGTCAAAACTTTCTTTTATGTTCAATAAAGTAAATTATTCCTTCATGAAAATACAGTCCAAGTACCACTGGCTAACAAACACCATGTGTTTGTGGTTTCACAGGAAGTAAGCTGCCAGCACACAGCCTTGCTCAGTCTTGACCCCGCCTTGGTAAGTGCCAGCTGCCTAGCCAGCCTGCAGCAGCCTGTAGGCATCCTGCTCCTGGAGGAGGCGTTGCTGCACCAGGAGCCCCCAGAACCTCCAGCCAAGCGGGCCCGGACAGTGCCCCAGCCCTCTCGTGAAGTCCTCAGGTGGATGGAGCTTGCCAAGTAAGTCCCGGGGTGAAAGTACGCTGACTCATACCCAAGAATTTCATCCAAGTGGTAGGAAAAAGGGGTTTGTCCTCCACTGCTGGATGGTTCATGCACTTAAAGACTGATGGTTCAAACTCACACAGGAGCACCCTGGAAGAAATGGCTGTTTCTGTAAAGATCGTAGCCACAGGAACTCCGTGGAGCACTTACGTTCTGTTGGAAATGAAGTTGCTTAGAGCCAGGATGAATTCAATAGCATGGATTGGGTTTATTTAGTTTTAATGTAGTAAAGCTTTGGCCTTATTTTGACAGCAAATGAACCGATAAAGTAATATTAACACTTCTCAAAAATGATTGAAACAGAATCTGGACAAAGAACTGCCCTTTGTACAGCTTGGGTTTAGAAGAGGCAGTGGCAACAGGGACATGATAGCCAATGTCAGATGGCTCTTGGCTGAATGCAGAGAGTACCAGAGGAATGTCTATCTGTGTTTCATTGACTATGCAAAGACATTTGACTGTGTAGATCACAACAAATTGGCTTACCCTGAGAAGAATGGGAATCCTAGAACACTTAAATGTGCTTATGTGAAACCTACACTTGGACCAGGAAGCAGTTCTTAGAACAGAGCAAGGAAACACTGCTTGGTTCAAAATTATAAAAGGTGTATGTCTGGGATGCATGCTATCTCCATGTCTTTTCAATCTGTATGCAGAACAGATCATTTGGGAGGCTAGACGTTATGCGGTGGAGTGTGGCCTGAGGATTGGAGGAAGACTCATCAACAATCTGCACTCTGCAGATGACACAACCTTGCTTGCTGAAGTTGAAGAGGACTTGAAGTATTTGCTACAAAAATATCAAAGTCTGTAGTCTTCAATATAGATTAAAGCTCAACATCAAGAAGACAAAGATTCTCACTACTGGGCCAATTGGCAGCACCCATGAAAGAGAAGAGATTGCAGTTGTTAACAGTTTCAGTTTTCTTTGCTCCACAATCAATACTCTTGGTACCAGTAGCCAGGAAATCAAAAGACAAATTCCATTGGGAAAGTTTACTGTCAGGGACTTCTTCAGAGTACTGAGGAACAATGATGTCAGTCTAGAGACTAAGGTGCATCTGATCCAAGCCATGGTCTTCTCTGTTACTTGCAATATATCAGAGAGCTGGACATGACTAAGGATTGTAGAAGAATTGATGGCCTTTAAGTTGTGGTGCTGGAGAAGAGTATTGAATGTACCATGAACTGCCAAGAGAACAAACAGATCTGTACTAGAGAGGGTAAAACTGGGCTGCTCCTTAGAGGCAAGGATTTTAAAGATCCATCCCACCTACTTTGGGCATGTGGCCAGGATGGACTAGTGCTTGGAGAAGGCTATTACACTTGGAAGGGTATAGGGACAGCACAGGAGAGAGGAAGACCCCAGATGAGATGAATTGACACAGTAACTGGAGTAATAGGGGTAGATGTGTCAAGAGACAGTGAAATTGACTCAGAGCAGAGTTCAGAGATACCGTACATTGTGTTACTGGGAGTTGTAAGCGACTCAGTGGCATTTAACACCACCACCACTTTGGTGAAATTTCTTTAAAACTTTGCAGTGGATTCTAGTCCATGATTCAAGAATTGTTTTCACAATAAGGAATCTTGATCAAGGAAGAGAGTACTAGTTAGCAATTAATTTCTTCAAACATTTCATCTTTTAGATTTAGATTATTGCTCACCAGCTCTAGTTTCCTCTGAAGTGTTGGTATAATTTGGAGTCCCTGGTATTTTATGTTTCAGCTACTCTTTTGAGTCTAATAAAAGCTGATGCCTTATTACAATGGTACTGAAATTTTTAGAAATTTTTAAATCTAATTATTTTTGTTTACTTGGGGAAAAAATTAAGTTTTATATTTATGCCATGTAACATTGCATCCCTTCCTCTTTAATTTGTGGTTTTAATCCTATGAAAGCCAGTACTTAATTCTGAAGCAGGATATTTGTTAAAATGTGTAATTTATTTTTTTAAAAAAAATCCCAAATACCAAAAAAAGACCCTGTGCAATTTAATTAGAATTTGTATTTTATTATACTAGTTTTTAAATTTTTTTGTTTCTAGAAGGAAAATCTTAAAAATAAGAGTGGCAATCTTTGCATTTGTCACTGTTTTGTAGTTATTGCCATGTTAGTGGTGTGTTTGTTGGTGGGTTCTTTTTTTTTATTTCTTACTGTGATTTTAGTGAAAGTGTACAGAGCAGATTGGTTTTCTTTCCATTAAGTAATTTATACATTTGTGTTTTGTGACATTGCTTACAATTCCCATACTGGGACAAACCCCTCCCACTTTCTCCCCATATTTACAGCTTCAGATTATCCTTCTTTCACTCTTGAGCTGATGCTGCCTTTTGGTTTTATATGGTTCAGTGAGGCTATGGCTTTTAGTCTCTCTTCAAGCCCCCCAGAAATTACCACTGTGCTTCAAGTGTACCTTCCAGCTAAGCCGTAAACAGACCTGTAAATTCTTTATAAGGCTCTATGAGTGTGTAAGACACTAGGCCTGGACACTTAGATTCATGACATTAGCCATCGCAGCTCTGATGGCCTAATGGTCAGGGTTAACACTGCCATCCCAAAGACATGTGGTTTGAATACACAAGCTGTTCTGCAGGAGAAAGACAGGCAGTCTCCTTCATTGTGATTTACTGCCCCTGAAAATCGGCTAGAGGATTAGCTGTGGATCAGTATTGACTTGATGATGCACAACAGTAACAGCAGCATGGTTTGAAACTACCAGTGACTTTGAAGAAAAAGACGAACAGTCCTCTGTGCGATTACAGCCTCCCAAAACCCAGTGGAGGGTCAGCAATGTGTCAGTTCCATCCTGACAACCAAGAGTGAAACCTAGTAGAAAGTTCATTCTCGTTTGTACAGAACTAACCATAGTAGGAAGTAGGAGGTGGACAGAGGCACAGAGGGAGTTCAGAGAATACATCTTGGCAGCTCAAGTTCCCAGGGTCTAGTACTTTAAGACGGTGAGAAACCCATATGAGGTTTATTTAGCAGGTAAATAAAGTACACAGCTTTTAAGACCTAAACTTTTTCTCACTTTATTACACACTTCCTAATATTTTACGTGTGTGTGCGTGTGCGTGTGCGTGTGTGTGTGTGTGTGTGTGTGTGTGTGTGTGTGTGTGTAATTGCCTTTCCTGCAGAGTATTGTGATTGTGGAAGTAATTTAGCCTGTCATCATGTTAATCATCACTTAAATGACCTGGAAATATTGGGATGAATGTAGGGCAGGGTGCTTATAAGGCTGAGATCTTTTCCATGTTTATGGAAAATGCCTGCAGCTCTCATCTCTTTTACTCTTGGATTAGGAACTCTTTTCATTCCATCTTCTCCCTGACCATGTCTGCCTCTGATTTGTAGCCTTCTATGCACTGTGAGGAAATAAGAGTCATGTTTACTAAACTTTGATCCAAATTTAAAATCAATAGAGAGCTGTAGGAGTCTCTTCTGCTATAAATATCTGAGATAAATTTAGTCCACAGAATGGGAACCAGGTGGAAGGGCACAGGAGAGGGACAGGAACAAGGGTATATTAAATAACAACTTTGGAATATTTTTAAGGAACAAGCTCAGTTCATAGTCTTAAATAAGACTCTTGTTAAGATGAAGAGGTAAATGAGCCCCATGGCAGATAGGAATGTTGTGTGAAAGTTACTGAACAGTAGGATTGGCATGACCCATGAGACACGGACTGAGTTATGGCATCAGTAGAATCAGGATCATTTCCTTCTTGCTTCTGGGTCTCTAGATAAATTACGAATTTAAAGAATAGACAAGGATTCCAGATGGATCATGTACAGATAAGTGGGGTATATTGTAACACATTCATTAATCTAAACCAAGTCCACTGCCAGTGAGTTGATTTCATTTCATAGTAACCCTACAGGACAAAGAACCAGCCTGTGGGCTTTCCAAGGCTGTAAATCTTTGCAGAAGCAGACAGTAAATCTTTTTATTGCAGAGCAGCTGGAAACACTTTAACCATTATACCACCAGGACTTTTTTTAAGTCTGTAATTCTTTTTTTTTTTTTTTAATTATACTAGGGTATTTACAAAATTGGAATACACTGTTTTTCAGACCAGATTCTCCCAATTTCCCTCACCAACCTACCCATCAAATTGTACAACCCAGTGGTTAATTCCCACCCCCCGTACACATTCTCATCCTTCTGCTTCCACCCTCCCCTCACCTTGGATCCTCATACTCATTCTACAATAATGGTTTTATGCAATATTTGTCCTTATGGGACTGAGTTAGTTCACACAGCATAATGCTCTCCAGTCCCTCCCATGTTAGGTAATAATTAGCAAAATCATTGCTCCTGAGTACTGTGTAGTATTCCATTCTATGTATGTTCCATAATTTCTCAATCCATTTGATTGTGGCTGGATAGCTGGACTGTTTACATGTTCTTGCGATAGTGATTAACACTGCTGTGAACATTGGTGTACAAGTCTGTTTGTGCCTCAGTTCTCATTTTTTCAAGGTATATTCCAAGTAGTGGAATAGCTGGGTCATATGGAATTTCTATGTTCAGCTTTTTGAAGAAGTGCCAAACTGCCTTCCAGAGTGGTTGTACCATTTTACAATCCCACCAACAATGTATAAGAGTTCCTTTTCTCACCACATCTGCTCCAGCATTTATTACTTGTTGTCCTGTTAAACTTTGCCACTGTTACTGGAGTGAAATGGTATCTCATTGTGGTTTTTATTTGTATCCCTCTTATTACCAGTGATTTGGAGCCTTTCTTCATGTGTCTCTTGGCTATTCAGATATCTTCTTCTGTGAAAATTATTTCCATATCTTATGCCCATTTTGTAATTGGGTCATCAGTCTTTTTCTTGTGGAGGTCCAGGAGTATTCTGTAAACTTTTGTTAGGAGACTCTTGTCTGAGATGGTATTACCAAATGTTTGTTTCCAGTCTGTGGGTTTTCTTTTCACCCCGTTTGAAAAAGTTTTTGATGCATACTTGGATTTAACCTTTAGAAGGTCTCATTCATCTATTTTATCTTCTTCAGATTGTGCATTTCTGGCTGTATTTGACAGTCTCTTTATACTAGGGTTGCTAAACTTGGTCCCAGTTTGTCTCTTATTAACTTTATTGTTTTGGGCTTTACACCCAAGTCTCTGATCCACCTTGAGTTGATTTTTGTGTGTGGTGTGAGATGTAGATCATGTTTCAGCATTCTGCAGGTGGAAGTCCAGTTTTGCCAGCACAATTTGGTGAAGAGGTTGTCATTTCCCCATTTGATAGCTTTGATTTCCTTGTTGAATATCAGTTGACCATGATAGCTGGGTCTGTTTCTGGGCTCTCAATTCTGTTACATTGGCCTGTGTGCCTGTCGTTACACAAATACCATGCTGTTTTGGTTACTACTGTTGTGCAGTAGGTTTTGAGGTCAGGAAGTGCCATGTCCCCCACCTCATTTTTTTTCTCAGACGTGTTTTGCTTATTCAGGGTTTCTTCTCCAAATAAATTTAACAATTTCCTTTTCAATCTCCTTAAAAAAATAATTTGGTATCTGGATTGGAATTGCATTGAAAATATAGATTACTTTTGGTAGGATTGTTATTTTCATAATATCCATTAACAGGGCACATTTTTCCATTTCTTTAGGTCTTTTATTGTGTCTTACAGAAATGCTCCTTAGTTTTCTTTGTGTAGGGCTTTTGTATCTTGTATCTCATATCGCAGTTTGTGATTGGCTGTTGTAAATGATATTGCTTTCTTTTTTTTATTCTTTTTTTATTTCCATTCGTTCATTGTTGCACACTTTCCTCCCTGCCCACCCCTCCCACCCCCAGTTCACTTTTCTCTTTGAAAAGTAAACAAAAAAAAATATTTTCATTGTGATACAAACCGCCTTCGCCCCAGTCCACCCTACTATGCAGGTTTCATTCTGGACTTTTGTCATGACAGTAACACCTAATCATACATTCCTCCTAAACAGTTCTTTCCCTCATCTGTTTCAATGCAGTATATATTATATATCCCCTCTTAGTTTCCCCTCAACTCTGATTTCAGTCCCATCTTACAACAGTGGCACTATGCAGTATTTGTCCTTTTGTGACTGAGATAGTTCACTCAACATAATGTCCTCCAGGGTCACTCATTTTTAATAATACTTAATGAGTCCTTGTTTTTCAGTGTAGCATAGTATTACATTGTGTGAATATACCACAGCTTCTCTATCTATTTGTTTGTTGATGAGCTCTTGGATTGTTTCAAACTCTTTGCTGTTGTGAACAAAGCTGCAATAAACATGGGTAAATATATATCTGTTTGGGTGGCAGTTCTGGTTTCTTTAGGGTATATTCCCAGTAGTGGAATTGCTGGGTCAAATGGTATTTCTATTTCCAACATTTTGAGAAAGCACCATACTGCTTTCCATTCTTGATTTTCTTCTCTGAGTTCTCTTTGTTACTGTAGAGGAATCCTACTGATTTTTGGGTATTGATCTTATATCTTGCCACTCTACTAAATTGGCCTACTAACTCTTTTTTTTTATTATTTTGTGTGTGTGTGCCGTCAAATCAGATCTGACTGGTACCGGAGGAGATTGCCCCTCCTTCTCCAGCAGAGCATCTGGTTGATTTGAACTGCGTACCTCTGGGATTGCAGTGCAGCTTCTTGCCACTTGGCCACCAGAGCTCGGCCTACTAACTCTTAACAGTTTTTTTGTTGAATCTTTGGCGTTTTCTGTTTATACTGCATATAGTGACAGTTTAACAATCTCCTTGCTGATCTGTATGCCTTTTGTTTCCTTCTCTTGCCGTACTGCCCTAGCAAGCACTTCCAATACAATATTGCATAGAAGTGGTGACAGTGTCCATCCTTATCTGGTCCCTGTTTGCAAGGAAAATACTTTTAGTCTTTCTCCATTGAGAATGATGTTGGCTCTTGGGTTTGCATATATACTTTTCACTATGTTGAGGAAATTCTCTCCTATTCCAATATTGTTGAGTATCTTTATCAGGAAGGGATGTTGTATTTTGTTAAATGCCTTTTCTGCTCCAGTTGCTAAGGTCATATGGTTCTTGTCATTTACTTTGTTAACACAGTGAATCGTGTTGAAGTTTGCCAGGACTTCTTAATGACTTAACTAAGGAAGGACAAAAATGAAACCAAATCCAATCTAGTGGATTCTGATGCATCTTCCATCTAATGAAGTCTTAACATCTGTTTTCAGAGACTGTAAATCTTAACAGAAGCAGACTGCTGTAACTTTCTCCATCCAGCTGGCTAGTGAATAAGAATTGCTGGCCTTTTAGTTAACAATCTAACCAGTAATACACTGTACCACCAGGGCTCTTGGTAATGAGTTAACAAGTAAGCTTATTTAATGAAATCATTTATACATGTGACCTTTTGATATTTTCAGATAACACTTTAAATGCATATTTGTAAAACCTAATTGTGAATTCAGAATGTTTTAAATCTTCAATATTTGCAAAATAAAATCAGATTTTATATATTTTAATTAATAAAGTATGTAAAAATTGTGATTTAATAATCATATTATTAAAGTAAACTTATAAATGTTAAGACTTGACTTGGTTTGAATCTTTCTTTTCCATTTATTTTATAGATTGTACCGATCAATTGGAGAATATGATGTCCTCCGTGGTATTTTTAGCAGTGAAATAGGAACAAAGCAAGTTACTCAGAATGCATTATTAGCAGAAGCCAGAAGTGATTATTCTGAAGCTGCTAAGCAATATAATCAGGTAAAATTGTTTTCTAGCAATTCATCAATCATTGAAACATGCTTACTATCTGGGTAAAAAGGCAGTTATCTTTAGAATTTAAAGATTTTATTAGTTTTATATTTAGTCCTTAGATTTTTACCAAAAGGTAGATAGCAGAGACATGTTCTATAGTAACGAAATAGTAAGTAATTATTCCTTATCTTATCCTTTTAAAGAAAACATTGAATTAAAAAGAAAGCATTTCCTACATTGTTGAGTACTGTCATTAGGTGCTATCAAGTCAAATAAGACTCATGATAACCCTATAAACAACAGATCTGGAACTTGTCCTCTCCTATGCCATCCTCACAATCTCTGACACACTCAAGCCCATTGCTGCAGTCACTGTGTCAGTCTACCTTGTTGAAGATCTTCCTCTCCTTCTCCATCGCTCCATCTTTCCAAGCCTGCTGTCCCATTCCATGGAATGACCTCTCCAAGCAACCGGAGTTCTTGTGGCCTAGTGATAAGAAGCTATGCTTGAATTCACCAGCCACTCCACAGGAGGAGGTTGGGCATTCTCCTCCTGTGTGATTTACTGCCTCTGAAAAATCCTCTGGAGGGTCAGCTATGGGTCGGTTCCCACTCCATGACATACAGCAATAGCAGCATGTCCAAAGTATGTGAGCTCTATCATATTTGCGTCCAAGGAGCACTCTGGCTGTACCTTCTGTTTGTTCTTTTGGCAGTGCATGGGATATTCAGTACTTTTCTATAACACCACTGTTCAAAGGCATCAGTTCATCCTTATTTATTGTTCAGCTCTCAAATGCTTAGCAAGTAGCTGAAAGGACCATAACCTGAATTGAGTATACCTAAATCCTGAAAGTGACATCATTGCGCCTCTATAATTTGGAGAGGTCCGTGACTTCAGACTTTCCCAGTGTAATATTTCTCCCTAATCTTAATTGTAGATCACTATGAGTCACAGGCGACTTGATGGCACATTAACAACAACAACAATAATTAAGATGACGTCATTACCCATTCCAATCTTCTCTCCATCTATCGTGATGTTGCCTATTGGTCCAGTGACAAGGATTTTTGTTTTCTTGATGTAGAGATGCAGTTCATACAGAAGGCTGCCATAAGAGCCTCAAGTTGTCCTCACTTTCAACAAGCAAAGTTGTGTCATTTGTGCCAATGTTCTGGGCCTTAGTGAAATGAAATGGACTGTTTTGGGCCTCTTTGAATCAGACAGTCACATGGTATATGATGCTGAGAGTAAAAATCAGAGTGAGATTGGCATTGCATTCATAGTTCAAAAGATAATTTCAAGTTCTATGCTGAATTAGTGTTGTGAGTGATAATATATTGTCCATATGTATACAAGGAAGACTGGTTAGTGTTCAGATATACACACCAACAGTTAAAGCCAATACAGGAGGAAATTGAAGATTTTTATTAAATTTTACAGTCCAAAATTTACCAAACATTCAATCAAGATGTGTTATTGAAGGGAGCTGTTGTGGCCTACTGGCAGTAAACTGCACTGCAATCCCGAAAACATGCAGTTCAAATCCACCAGATTCTCTGCTGGAGACGGAGGGGCAGTCTTTTCCTGTGCCAGTTGGATCCAACTCAGTGGTACACAATGAGAAAAAAAGAGAGAGAGAGAGAACTGTGTTAATTGGTGATTGGAATGCAAAAGTTAGAAACAATGAAGAGGGAAAGGTAGTCAGAAAGTAGTGAATTGGTGACAGAATGATCAAATTTTGTATGTTCAGTGATTTATTAATTGCAAACACCTTTTTTTCTGTCAAGTACTAGGAAACACTTTTATCTGCTATTATTATTCACAATTTGTTAGACTAGCTTGTTTCTGTAAGTAAAAGGTCTGCAGAGAAGTAAAGAAGAGCTGTTTTTGGAAGGATCACTGTATATTGAGGTCATGGGTTTTTGTGTTTTGTGGAACCCAGGCTTCTAAGGGCAGTAACTGCCTAACAAATGGGGAAAATCTGAGACTGCTTAGAGACTCAGGTGAGCATCCAGATTTTATACTCTCTCAATTTCTAATGTCTAGTGTTCTAAATGTAATTTTAGGAATTTACTAAATAGTCAATAATCCAGTTTTTATTGGGGTGTATTGTGATTTCTTAATGTCTTCTTCTGTTTAGTTAGTTTTGCTGATAAGTTTCTGAAACAGACTACTTAAGGAATTGCCATTAAGGTTCTTACGTTTGATTGTTACCAAAAGTCTTCTGTCTGTGTTCCTCTGAAAATATTTTTTTTTCTCTCTCACCTTTTTGACAGCTCTGAAAATTATTGTCCTAGTATGATGTTTTTCATTGTGTTTTTTTCCATCTTTGTATAATAATCTTACCTTTTCTCTGTCAGGCTCTCAATAAACAAGACTGGTTGGATGGGGAGCCCACAGAAGCAGAAAAGGATTTTTGGGAACTAGCCTCCCTGGACTGCTATAACCACCTCACTGAGTGGAAGTCACTGGCATACTGCTCAACAGCCAGTGTGGACAGCAAGCACCCTCCAGATCTAAGTAACATGTGGGCTGAGCCATTTTACCAGGTTGGTAGGAACCATCAAATTATTTATATAGCCTGAATCCCATGCAAAACTCCACGTAACTGACACCCACTTGTGTCAAGTAGGTTCTGACTAGTAGGGATCCTTAAAGACAGAGATGAGTGCCCCATAGGGTGTTTAAGACTATAGATCTTTATATCTTTCTCCCATATATTCTTGGTCATTTTAAACTGCCAGTCTTTAGGTTAGCAGCCAAGCACATTATCCACTACATTCAACTCCACAGTACATTAAAATTTCAAATCAAAGCATATCAGAGATCATGAAGATCTTACCACATAGAGCAGGCTTTAGATGTGTGTAGGGTCACCGTGAAGCATAGTCTACTCAGTGGCACTTAATAACAATAGCTAACCCTGTTAAAATAAGTGGGATGTATTTTAAAACAATATTAATTACCCTGCAATGACAGCATTGGAAAAAACTTCCTCTTGTTTCCAAAAAGTTACCCTGGCACCATGGTTGTCCCACATACACTTGACCTCCAGAATGAAGGTTACAAGGTCCCGCCATATCTGTGATTTCATTGCCCTTATAAGTTCTTCCATTTACATATAACAGCTAAGTGTTCTTTGTGCTAAAAGCTTTTGCTGTTTTCTATGGCCAGGCTTAAACCATTGCAGTTTTTGTTCAGACTTGAAATTGTAAACATCACTTTGGCCTGAAAACCTGAGCTCTAAATCCTGCCAGAATATCTTGTGGTAATAAAATATGTTATCAAGTGGATTTCTGAAGTTACAAGCAGATATTGATGTTCTGTAGGAGACATATTTGCCATACATGATCCGCAGCAAGCTCAAGTTACTGCTTCATGGAGATGATGACCAGTCCCTGTTGACATTTGTTGATGATGCTGTGAGCAAGGAGTTCCAGAAGGTTCTCTTGGAGCTTCACTACAGTCAGGAATTGAGTCTCCTTTATCTCCTACAAGACGATTATGACAGAGCAAAATACTGTATTGAAAATTGCATTCAGTTTTTCATGCAGGTAATAAAAAATGGGCCACTTTTTACCAACTTTTATTTTTTAATTTTATGCCACTCATTTCCTTCTTAATTTTTATACTCCCATTTTCTTATACTATTATTCTTCACTCTGTTCTTGGCCTTAATACTTTATCTTTTGTTTTTAAAATATTTTACCATAGTCTCAAAGGACATCAAGGTCACTTGGTACAATATAATTCACAAAATACTGTGCACCATACTTTAGTTAGTAGTAACTGGGGTCCTAAAAGCTTGAGAGTAGCCGTCTAAAGTGCAACTATTACTCTCTCCCCATCTACAGGAAAGAGTTGTTGTTGACTGCCATCAAGTTGAGGTCGACTATATGAACAAAAGACCTAATGCCTTTCCATAGCTATCATTTCTCCACGTGCATAGAGCTTCCAGAAACATGTGGTTTAGGAAGTGAATGCCACTCCTGCTTTCCAACCTACTTTACAACTGGGAGCTCCATCAAACACTGTCCACAATGGGAAACCATTCTGGCATTTGGTATCTCCATGGCACAAGGTTAAGCATCATAGCAAACCCAGATTATCTCATACACATTGATAAAGAGTGGTGTGCAAAGTGGAAGAATGTTCCTCCAGGTATAACAGCACTAGTCTCATTTAGCAGTAGTTAAGTGTTGTCAAGTTGAATATGACTCAGAATAAGCTTAGCAAAAAAGACCTGAAATCTGTCCTATAATTAACATCATTTCTGTACATTTATAAGAGAGTTTGTAGAGTTTCCAGAAGCATCTAGTTAGTTTAGAAAGTGGATGTCACTCCTGCTTCCGAATATGAATCAATCTGGAAGCTTATCCAACCACTCACTCTACATAATGGGTAATCATTATCACCTATGGAATAGTGTTCAGCATCACAGCAACTCTAAGTTGTTTAATACAGCAAATAGACAAATAATTGCTGTATCTTTAAAAGAAAATTCTTCTAAAATTAATAAATTTGCAGCCCTTGGACCCTACAGGATTTTAAAGTCATACCCTCGAGCTGGTCTCCACCTTTACCCTTACTCTAAGGCTCAAGGGCATCCAGTTTTGAGGGAGAAAAAGAACAGTAACACACAACAAAAAGGACCCCAGAAACTTTCCTTGCCTGATTGCCACCAAGATGAGATCGCCACCGATGTCAGCCAGCCAGCCAACTACCAGAGTGGAGGGAGACTCCAAGATGCCAGGCCTCAGGCCAGCCCACAGACCTATCACCTCGTCAATGATTTTAAAGTCACACCCTCAAGCCAGCCTCCACCTTTACCTTTAGGTAGTAAATAAAATCAAAGGCATACATTAACAACGAGTCCAGAGAATTATTAGATCACATGACCATTGGCCTCCATATACTTGGGACCAGAGGGATAAGATGGTGCCAGGCTGCTCAAATGGACCAGTCTGAAGGGGATTTCAGAGAAGTATCAGAGTAGGAAGAAAATACGGAACAAAGTTCAGAATCATGAAAATGACCAGACTGCTTGGTCTAATAAGGAATGGTAGAACCACTGAACACATGACCCCTAGTCACCTTTCAGGCCTAGAACCAGATTCACGCCAGGCCTGGTGTTCACTCAAATACCAGATGCATGTACAAGATGAACAGCAGCACTAATGAGGTACACACACCTTGGAATAAGCAACCATTTGAGATAAAAAAGGAAGCATTTGCCCAAGGACTAAATTCAGAAGGCGGGAGCAATTATGAAAGGAGAATGGAAAAGGAAAATTGAGAGAAAGTGGGATGGGTTGTAGGTGCCACTCAAACTTCTTCCCTCAGTGGTATTGGCTCGTGAACAGATGCTGTTTCCTGAACTGGTTCATTGTTGTTGTTGTTGTTGTTATGTGCCGTCGAGTCGCTTGCGACTCATAGCAACCCTATTTACAACAGCCCTAAACTCCGCTCTGTCCTGTGCCAATCGCACGGTCTCTGACACTCCCATCACAATTATCCCAGTCACTGAATCAATCCACTTCATAGAGGGCCTTCCTCTCCTGTGCTGTCCCTCCATCCTCCCAAGCATGATATCCCTCTCCAAGGACCGCTCGCTCCCCACAACATGTCCAAAGTATGTTAGACGGAGCCTCAGAATCCTTGCCTCCAAGGAGCCACC